TGACATCAGATTTTTTTGCCATTCTTCCATTACACAAATCTTCAGCTGCGCAAACGTACTGGGCCTTTGTTGTCGTATTCTGCAATTTATAATGTGCCACCTGTTTTCAAAGGGAAACAAGTCTGGACTGTAAGCAGGCCAGTCTGGGACCTGCAGACTGATTGCACAGCCGTACTACAGCGTAATGCTGTTGTAATGTGCTGAATGTGGCTTGGTTTCATCTTGTTAAGACTAAAAAAAGACTAGAAAAACGACTAGAAGGCTAGGAGCATACATTGCTCCAAAATATGCATATTCATTCAGCATTCATGGTGCCTTCACAGATGTGTAAGTTACCCAAGCTGTTGTCACTAAAACACCCTCACACCATGACAGATGTTGGCTTTTGAATTTTATGCTGGTAACAATCTGGTAACAAGTTGGTTCTTTTTTCTTGTCTTCTTTTCTTTCTATTACTTTCATAAACAATCTGACAGTTTGGCTCATCAGACCACAGTACACATTTCTACTTTACGTCAGTCCATTTCAGATGAGCTCAAGCCCAGAGAAGACGGCGACGTTTCTGGAAAGTCGTTGACTTCCACTGTGCACAGTACAGCCCATGTGGTGATACCAATTACAGAAGCATTTAGGTTTTATGCAGGTTTTATCTGAGGGATTGAAGATCACCGGCATCCAGTTACAGTTTTCAGTTTTGATTTTTATATATACAGAGATTTTATTGGACTCCCTGGATCTTTTGATGGAATTATGCACTGTAGACATTGGAATACCTAAAATCCTTGCAATGGCTCGTTGAGAGTTTTTCTTAGAGAGTTATTCTCTGAGCCTCAACACATCCTTGCACATAAAGGGTTAATCGTCTTGAAGCATTATTACATGACCTGTGTAAGTGTTTATACTCTTAGTTCCCTGTTCCAACTTTAAGAGTCTTGTATATTTACAAAAAAACAAGGATGTTGATCTTGTCTTTGTTTTAACTTAAACACAGGTCAAAGTGGATTTACAAATCACTAATTAGTGTATTTCACATACTGTGACAACTTTTCAGAAATGAGGTATAGACATAGACTTCCATTACTTTTTAACTACATAAACCTTCAAACATGTCTTGGCCAATGATTTTTGATTTTTCGGTGAACTACTGCCTTAAAATTGATTTTTTCTCCATTTCCACTGTAAAAAATGAATTTTTTAACAGTTAGGCAAATTTTCAGAGCATTTAATTGATATTCACACACAAACCATCCCAAACATGGGCGGCACCAGATCTAAATCATTAGCAGGGCATCCAGAAACCACGCAGGGGCAGGGTGTGCTGTGCACTCACGTCAACATCAACAACCTCATTCACAACACATCAAGGTCTATTCTTTTAGCCCAGAGATCACTTGCATAAAGCATCCTAAGCAAATTTTCATCTTAAGTTTTCTCTTTACCTTAACTGAGCCACATAAAGGGAAGTCTTTAAGTGGAAAAAAATACATTTAAATTGAGTTTTAGTTCCTATGTTGAAGCTAGCCCTTCAGATTTTGACTGAAATGTTAAATGTAAAGCTTTACATTTATTCCTTGAGCATTTATCTTATGATAACTACTTAAGATGTGACCACTGGTCCCAAATGATTGGCTTTCCAAAAAATGTAAGCTGAATCTTGATAGAACACATGAGGCAGCTGAAACTAACTTCTACATGACAGAGCCTAACATAGTTATTCTGAAGCAATAAAAAACACTACACTGACACCACTGAGGGCTAATCACTACAGAAAGTTTCACTGATGCAGATTGTGTTATCTGAGGCAAAAATCTCACCTTCTTGGGTTCACCAAAAAAAAAAGAAACTCTTGAAACAGCTCACATGCACACTTACATTTATTAAATAATCAAATATATTTCCACATATTTTTCAAAGTATATATCAGGTTGATACATTTGCATTTGACATATATGTAAATATTAAAAAATGAATACACATATTTAAATATTAATGGTTCCGTTTTATATTTAGGTTTTAGATTGTATTTAAAACATCACATATATTGCATATTGTCACTGTCCAAAGAAAAACATGTATCTCCATTTCTGTTGTTTTTTAATTTTCTGCATCATTTGAACACAATGGCTGTCCGTTACATCCTGTCATCCTGTGAAAGTTTGATGAATGGACCAATAACAATGCTCTAAAATGACTTGGAATAAAATGTCTGTACACTGACTTACATTAAAAGGAAGGAACGTTTTTGCTCTCTCCTGTAAAGTGACCTTTTTGGAGATATTTGTTTTTCTTTGGACAGTGATGATATATATATATATATATATATATATATATATATATATATATATATATATATATATGTGTGTGTGTGTGTGTGTGCAGTTGCTAAGAAAGTGTCTGGAACTTTGTGGAACTTGTGATCAGTATTACTGATCAGGCTCATTTTAGTTTCAAGGATACATTTGTGAAGAAAGCTGTCAGATGCTGTGAGATTTTTTTGGTGCGATCACGGAGAGCAGGTCAATAATTTGACAAGTTACTGTTGGTAATTAGCCACGCGTCACTTGGCCTGAGGTATTTGTGATATTTCTGACATTTCATGCATTTATCCTGGGTTTAATTTGGTTTTCAAGATACCGAAAACAAAGCACACACTGTCAGCTGTCTTTCCTGTTGTGTTGTTCTAAAATAAATGACTATACTGAGAATCATCAAAAATAAGAGCTGTTCTGCTGTTCCATCTCCCATTTGCCTTTGATCCTGACCCGATTTACCGTACGCCCGACCTACTCAGATTCAAAATGTGGCTTCAGTCTTTTAGAGTGCCATTTGTTACCATAACAGAAATATCACAACCTTATTATCACTCTGTCTGAAACAGCAGCAGGAGGAAAAAATGTAGGTAAAATATTTAGCTGTGGGCTGCGTTTGTGCGTTTGCCTCCCACACTGCCACAAACACCTCCAACACTCCACGGCCTCAAAGAGTGGAGAAAAAGTGTTACACGTTTCTGCAAGTGCATAGGTTTCTGTGGCCTAGTGGGTGGACAGTTTTAGCTCTTCAGAACTTACACCTCTGTATGGATGACCAGTCGGGATGTGGGTGTCGATGCTTAAGTATCAGCACTTTTGATACTGTGTTTCACTTTGATAACTGATGTTCATATTAAAGGAGCATATAAACAATGTCAAAGTTTTCATGTTTTCATTGTTATAGTATACTATTCAACCCCCCAGTCCACACAGCCCATTTACGGAAGCTGTTTTTAAGCCAAAAATTTAAGTGAAAAGGTCAAGTAAAAATAAAATTAATTATGACTGTTTGACACATCAAACCGCACAACTGTTAGAAGTGGAAAAGAAATAATAAAATACAAGAGTAATATTGGATATAGGCCCTTCAAATAATTAATGGTATTAAACGTTTGATGCTGAAAAGTGAAAAAAAAAAATGCTTATGCCAAATAAATACAATTTGGGAGATCAAATGAAGTTATTTAATCCCAATAAATGGCCAGTCTGCATGGCATTTTATGTAACACTAATAAAAGAGCTTAAATATTTTTGATGTCCATTTACTGGTTACAAAAAAATTAGCTTTTACTTAGAAATAGAGAACAATACAAAAATCTGAAAAAAGGCTATTTAAAAAATAAGATAAGTAAAAGCAAGGAGAAATATTCCAAACTCTGCACTATATCTAGGTCACTATTCAAATTCAAATTCAAGTTTGTGACATTATCCATGTTAAAGGGGAACTCCACCAATTTTTCCAAATTTCTGAATAATTCAGTCCTTGAGATGCAAACAGCATCATTCAGAGTGGTTTGATGAGAAATGGTTCACTGTAGAGAAACCTGTCAACTCAAATTTCTTTACAGTGGTGGTGATGGGAACACAAAACATCAAAAATATAGCCATTTTATTTACTATCCAAAATCACCAGTGCGCCTACGCATGCCTTTCGAGTTTTTATTTGTAATGTTGATGATGTTAAAAAACAAAAGGCAGAAATCTGAATCTGAAATAATCTGAAAATCTGAAATAAATTTTCTTTGGGGACCATTTTGCCTTAGAACACCCTCTATGTATCCATCCACCATGAAAAGAATGAAATAATTTGATTAAAATACATTTTAGGCCTAAAATTGATCACAAAACTACCGCAAAACAATGTGTCAGATATCAGGCTGAGTATTCGTGGCCATCTCATGTCATAACTTTTTGTGACGGAGCTTTGAGAGACATTGAACTATTCAGGCATCTGGTTCCTACCACAACCACTGTAAACTATTCTGACTCTAAAACGAAGCATTTCACATCAAACCACTTTGTTTACATCTTAACCATTTAATTATGTAGGATTGTTTTTAAAAATCGGTGGAGTTCTCCTTTAAGGCCTTTGTACAAAAGGGTCAGATTTTTTTTTTGTCTTATTCCTTCCACTGAAACGGTTCACAAAACTCTTCAGATGACTCTCAGGTGGATTTGATCTACTCATCAGAGGCTTTTATCACTGTAAATGATCAGAGTTGTGTCACCTCGAGTCATTAAAGCAAAAGGGGAACAAACACTAAGAAATTCTGACATGTATGTTAATATTTCAAAGACTCCACTTTTTACTCTGTTATGCTGATAATGTAATTTGTAATGAAAAAAGTGGTCTCAGTCCCGCTCCCTATCTGTGGCCATCGGTGCACTGATTTTGTAAAAGCACGTGTTATTGATGTTTGTATCGCTCAGTCATTCTTAGAAGAGAAACGCGTGACGTGCGGCGCCGAACGGAAGATGCTATTCACAGAACAGGGGGGGACAAGCGAAAAATGCGGCCAGTGCATGCTGAAATCGCCATTTTACGTCCTGAATGGAATGTGTGGCAAAATCAGTTATCTCCATCTGTTTGTTATTTCCGTCTTCGGCAGTGTGAGGCTGATAAATCCACCCCCTTTTATGTAATCCTTTGGACCTTATGCTAACTATTTAAACGGCCTGGGAGTCGCTAAAACCTAGCAGCAGTGCAATAAATGCAACGTGCTGGTGGAACTTCAAAACACCATGTGGTCAACACTAGTTAGCGTGGTTTTCCTGCTCACCTGCGTCTGTATGTATCTTGGTGTCCATATTGTCATATATTCAGCTTTCACTATGAGCCTCTTGCTGATGGCCCAGGCACTGAGCCAGAGGGGAAGAGGTATGTCTGAGGGATTTGAGAGGGCAGTGTTAATAACAGGCTGTGACAGTGGATTTGGGTATCAACTTGCCAAGACACTGGACAGCATGGGATTCATCGTGTTTGCTGGGTGTTTATGCTCTGATGGTCATGGAGCTCAAACACTGGCCAAAGAGGGATCTCAGCGTTTAAGTGTGCTGCAGTTGGATGTAACCAGAGATGAAGATGTGAGGCTGGCTAAGGCCCTTGTGGAAGCAAACCTACCAGAGAAAGGTACATTTTTTTTGCCTTGTTTTACTTGCTGGTACTTTTTGGGATTGATCATCTCATTTTCTATTTCTTGATTATCTGACCTGGTCTTGTCGTGTCTTCCCTTCCAGGCCTTTGGGCTGTTGTAAACAATGCCGGCATCAGTGACTGGGGAGAGACTGAATGGAATTCCATCGAAGACTACCAGAAAATGGCAGACATCAATTTGTTTGGCTCCATCCGTACTTCGATTGCATTTCTGCCTCTTGTACGAGCATCCAAAGGTTTGTCAGACAGAACCTCAAACATGCACTGTCAGTAATGCCATGATGTATTATGCATGTGTGTCTTGTATGCTACATTATGGTTTGCATCATTCACCACTCTCTTCATTTTCTTTTTCAATACATCTTCATCTGCAGGTCGTATGGTATTTGTGTCAAGCATCTTTGCCTTCTTTAATTGTTTGAACATGGGAGCATACAGTATATCCAAAAGAGGGCTGGAGGCCTTTGCTGACTGCCTGAGGGTTGAGCTGGCCAGTTTTGACGTAAAGGTAAAAGTCATGCAGCTCATAAATGCAGCTCATACTGCAGTGCTTGAATTCTTGATTTTAAGAGATTCTGGTTGACTGTACTACATGTTTCTCTCTATTTTAGGTCAGCATTATTCAGCCAGGAAACTTTGGACCAGCTACAAACATCAGAACTAAGAAAACAACCCAAGAAATATGGGATAAATTGGATGAGGAACATAAAGCAATTTTCAACAGAAGTTACGTTGAGATTGCAAATTCGTACTCCCAGTCTTCATGCAATGCAGGGTTTAAAGATTGCCGCATGGTCATTGATGCTATGGTGCATGCTCTTACTGCCCCTAATCCAAAAGCACGTTACCTACTTGTCTCTTCGATGGAGATGATCTTTTTTTCTGTATTTCCTTTTTTGCCCACGGTTATCAAAGATGCAGTGTTTAAAATTTCCCCGATTTACCACAAGCGCAAAGCGATGCTTTATGCCTGAAATTTGATTTCAGATTTATATCTGATGCGACTTGAAGGTTTATGATTTCAGAATCAGATTCAGATCTCAACTTTAGTAGTCAACCGTTAGATAATGGCCAAATGATAAGGAATTGCTAAGTATTTGGAAATTGGTCCTTGGTGTCACTCACATGGTTGGCCACATGGCTTATCATTGCACAAAGTGTTTCCACAGCTATCACGTCTTACCACGTTACAAGTACATAGTCTTTATGAGTAGATAATATTTGTTATTTTTGTTTGAAGTTTTAGTGGACAACCACAGCCACATTTCCTGAGTTCGGTATAAGAAGCAGAACTAGAAATGCTGAAATGTTAGTTGTGTCCAGGATGATGAACAGAGATGTCAAAGATTATAAAATTACTAAAAAAAGTATATTGTGCGTTTGCCTCCCACACTGCCACAAACACCTCCAACACTCCACGGCCTCAAAGAGTGGAGAAAAAGTGTTACACGTTTCTGCAAGTGCATAGGTTTCTGTGGCCTAGTGGGTGGACAGTTTTAGCTCTTCAGAACTTACACCTCTGTATGGATGACCAGTCGGGATGTGGGTGTCGATGCTTAAGTATCAGCACTTTTGATACTGTGTTTCACTTTGATAACTGATGTTCATATTAAAGGAGCATATAAACAATGTCATAGTTTTCATGTTTTCATTGTTATAGTATACTATTCAACCCCCCAGTCCACACAGCCCATTTACGGAAGCTGTTTTTAAGCCAAAAATTTAAGTGAAAAGGTCAAGTAAAAATAAAATTAATTATGACTGTTTGACACATCAAACCGCACAACTGTTAGAAGTGGAAAAGAAATAATAAAATACAAGAGTAATATTGGATATAGGCCCTTCAAATAATTAATGGTATTAAACGTTTGATGCTGAAAAGTGAAAAAAAAAAATGCTTATGCCAAATAAATACAATTTGGGAGATCAAATGAAGTTATTTAATCCCAATAAATGGCCAGTCTGCATGGCATTTTATGTAACACTAATAAAAGAGCTTAAATATTTTTGATGTCCATTTACTGGTTACAAAAAAATTAGCTTTTACTTAGAAATAGAGAACAATACAAAAATCTGAAAAAAGGCTATTTAAAAAATAAGATAAGTAAAAGCAAGGAGAAATATTCCAAACTCTGCACTATATCTAGGTCACTATTCAAATTCAAATTCAAGTTTGTGACATTATCCATGTTAAAGGGGAACTCCACCAATTTTTCCAAATTTCTGAATAATTCAGTCCTTGAGATGCAAACAGCATCATTCAGAGTGGTTTGATGAGAAATGGTTCACTGTAGAGAAACCTGTCAACTCAAATTTCTTTACAGTGGTGGTGATGGGAACACAAAACATCAAAAATATAGCCATTTTATTTACTATCCAAAATCACCAGTGCGCCTACGCATGCCTTTCGAGTTTTTATTTGTAATGTTGATGATGTTAAAAAACAAAAGGCAGAAATCTGAATCTGAAATAATCTGAAAATCTGAAATAAATTTTCTTTGGGGACCATTTTGCCTTAGAACACCCTCTATGTATCCATCCACCATGAAAAGAATGAAATAATTTGATTAAAATACATTTTAGGCCTAAAATTTATCACAAAACTACCGCAAAACAATGTGTCAGATATCAGGCTGAGTATTCGTGGCCATCTCATGTCATAACTTTTTGTGACGGAGCTTTGAGAGACATTGAACTATTCAGGCATCTGGTTCCTACCACAACCACTGTAAACTATTCTGACTCTAAAACGAAGCATTTCACATCAAACCACTTTGTTTACATCTTAACCATTTAATTATGTAGGATTGTTTTTAAAAATCGGTGGAGTTCTCCTTTAAGGCCTTTGTACAAAAGGGTCAGATTTTTTTTTTGTCTTATTCCTTCCACTGAAACGGTTCACAAAACTCTTCAGATGACTCTCAGGTGGATTTGATCTACTCATCAGAGGCTTTTATCACTGTAAATGATCAGAGTTGTGTCACCTCGAGTCATTAAAGCAAAAGGGGAACAAACACTAAGAAATTCTGACATGTATGTTAATATTTCAAAGACTCCACTTTTTACTCTGTTATGCTGATAATGTAATTTGTAATGAAAAAAGTGGTCTCAGTCCCGCTCCCTATCTGTGGCCATCGGTGCACTGATTTTGTAAAAGCACGTGTTATTGATGTTTGTATCGCTCAGTCATTCTTAGAAGAGAAACGCGTGACGTGCGGCGCCGAACGGAAGATGCTATTCACAGAACAGAGGGGGACAACCGAAAAATGCGGCCAGTGCATGCTGAAATCGCCATTTTACGTCCTGAATGGAATGTGTGGCAAAATCAGTTATCTCCATCTGTTTGTTATTTCCGTCTTCGGCAGTGTGAGGCTGATAAATCCACCCCCTTTTATGTAATCCTTTGGACCTTATGCTAACTATTTAAACGGCCTGGGAGTCGCTAAAACCTAGCAGCAGTGCAATAAATGCAACGTGCTGGTGGAACTTCAAAACACCATGTGGTCAACACTAGTTAGCGTGGTTTTCCTGCTCACCTGCGTCTGTATGTATCTTGGTGTCCATATTGTCATATATTCAGCTTTCACTATGAGCCTCTTGCTGATGGCCCAGGCACTGAGCCAGAGGGGAAGAGGTATGTCTGAGGGATTTGAGAGGGCAGTGTTAATAACAGGCTGTGACAGTGGATTTGGGTATCAACTTGCCAAGACACTGGACAGCATGGGATTCATCGTGTTTGCTGGGTGTTTATGCTCTGATGGTCATGGAGCTCAAACACTGGCCAAAGAGGGATCTCAGCGTTTAAGTGTGCTGCAGTTGGATGTAACCAGAGATGAAGATGTGAGGCTGGCTAAGGCCCTTGTGGAAGCAAACCTACCAGAGAAAGGTACATTTTTTTTTGCCTTGTTTTACTTGCTGGTACTTTTTGGGATTGATCATCTCATTTTCTATTTCTTGATTATCTGACCTGGTCTTGTCGTGTCTTCCCTTCCAGGCCTTTGGGCTGTTGTAAACAATGCCGGCATCAGTGACTGGGGAGAGACTGAATGGAATTCCATCGAAGACTACCAGAAAATGGCAGACATCAATTTGTTTGGCTCCATCCGTACTTCGATTGCATTTCTGCCTCTTGTACGAGCATCCAAAGGTTTGTCAGACAGAACCTCAAACATGCACTGTCAGTAATGCCATGATGTATTATGCATGTGTGTCTTGTATGCTACATTATGGTTTGCATCATTCACCACTCTCTTCATTTTCTTTTTCAATACATCTTCATCTGCAGGCCGTATGGTATTTGTGTCAAGCATCTTTGCCTTCTTTAATTGTTTGAACATGGGAGCATACAGTATATCCAAAAGAGGGCTGGAGGCCTTTGCTGACTGCCTGAGGGTTGAGCTGGCCAGTTTTGACGTAAAGGTAAAAGTCATGCAGCTCATAAATGCAGCTCATACTGCAGTGCTTGAATTCTTGATTTTAAGAGATTCTGGTTGACTGTACTACATGTTTCTCTCTATTTTAGGTCAGCATTATTCAGCCAGGAAACTTTGGACCAGCTACAAACATCAGAACTAAGAAAACAACCCAAGAAATATGGGATAAATTGGATGAGGAACATAAAGCAATTTTCAACAGAAGTTACGTTGAGATTGCAAATTCGTACTCCCAGTCTTCATGCAATGCAGGGTTTAAAGATTGCCGCATGGTCATTGATGCTATGGTGCATGCTCTTACTGCCCCTAATCCAAAAGCACGTTACCTACTTGTCTCTTCGATGGAGATGATCTTTTTTTCTGTATTTCCTTTTTTGCCCACGGTTATCAAAGACGCAGTGTTTAAAATTTCCCCGATTTACCACAAGCGCAAAGCGATGCTTTATGCCTGAAATTTGATTTCAGATTTATATCTGATGCGACTTGAAGGTTTATGATTTCAGAATCAGATTCAGATCTCAACTTTAGTAGTCAACCGTTAGATAATGGCCAAATGATAAGGAATTGCTAAGTATTTGGAAATTGGTCCTTGGTGTCACTCACATGGTTGGCCACATGGCTTATCATTGCACAAAGTGTTTCCACAGCTATCACGTCTTACCACGTTACAAGTACATAGTCTTTATATTTGTTATTTTTGTTTGAAGTTTTAGTGGACAACCACAGCCACATTTCCTGAGTTCGGTATAAGAAGCAGAACTAGAAATGCTGAAATGTTAGTTGTGTCCAGGATGATGAACAGAGATGTCAAAGATTATAAAATTACTAAAAAAAGTATAGTGTAGTCAATTATATTCATTCTTCATATTTCAAAAGATGGAAAAAATGAATGTATATACATGAAGACAGTATATTATTTACTGCTTGAAACAGAACTCTTGAAAAATTGTATAAAATGTCTAAAAATGTAATTTGGCAAATAGTTTGTAATATTTAAATCCACTTTGCATGACTTATTATTGTATGTAAAATGACAAAAATGTAATATGGTAAGTCAATCCAAGCTTTAGAGTAGATATAAAGATGTTTCTCTGTATGTTCAGCAGTTCTGAGCATAAGCAGGGGAGTCTTTTTCTTTTGTGTGAGGCCAAATAAAGAACAAACTGCAGAAGGAAATCTTATCAGAGCCCCAGATTTGAACAAAGGTGTCCTGTTTGCTGAACAGATACTTCTCCTTTTTTAGCAGACTGGCTATGGACATGTAGGCTCATGTGTGAAGCGTAGTTTGGTTGCAATCATGTAGTGTGTAGCACTAGAGGTGGGCAAAATGACAATATTTTATTGTTGTCATGATAAATTTTGATACTATAATTTAAAAAAAGCTTCTTTTTTTTTAAACACATTATCGCTATCAACAGTACTAGAGATAAAAAGAGCTATATTTCGCCCAACCCTGTGCAGCACCACGTACTGTCTGTTGTGTGTTTGTTCCTCCATATTTTACTGTATTCTCTTTGACGTAAGCAGTTTTTATTCTAAAATCAAAATAGAGGAAGTAGAGAGGGTCGGTGTATTAACATGATTATTTGTTTTGAGTGAGCTGGTGTTTGTGCATTTGCTGCAAGTCTCTTCATGGTTAAGCTTGTTGTGTTCACAAACCTGCAATAAACTGGTGTTGATTTCATCTAAACAGTCGTGCCAGTGTATATTGATCTAGTACAAGAATGTGTTTTCATTTTGTTTTCCATATGCAAAAGTTGTGTACACAGGTGGGTCCTTGGCAAATAACGTTTCCCTGTTGAAGTGATGTATGTATGTTAGACAGACAGATATGTGTGGAAATGACTGAGGGAAATGTTTGGGTGTCATGGGGCACTTGAAGGCAAAATGTGTTTGATTATTGGCATGCTTAGCAGAAAATTAGTCTGTAGATATGGAGCACTGATGCGCAGAAAAGTAGTCCACAGATGTCGAGAGGAACCACAGAAATTTATCTCTTCAGTTTCAGACTGTGCGCTCGTTGGTATTCTTATCATCTATCAGCCCCTGCCGAAAACCCAAAATGTCGCATTATCTATCTTTTTATCTATAGCCATTGTACTTTTGAAGAAGTTTGAATGTCACTGTTAACTGATTCCCTGTAAGGATGTTAGCTCAAATTCAGCCTCAGTTAGAGTTGCACAGTGTTTGCATTTGACCCACTTACAAGGCAACTGTATAATATTGTGTTCTACCTGCTGTGAGGAATTTTCACCTTCAGCAGGGGAAGCATCTCCTGCAACTGGACTAAAAGTGTGCCTCAGAGCACATCTAGACCATTAAATACTCAGGGGCAAAGAACAGTAACATGGATCCAACCTTTTTCAGCAATTTTTTGCAGTTGTCTGCTAAATTTTTGAAATGTAAATCAAGAGAAAACTGAATTATTGATTATTGGTACTAATAAAAAAAGGAAGTTGGTTTGTGAGAAGCTCGGCTCTTTTGCTTCATATACCAAACCTGAAGTATGAAACCTGGGTGTCATCTTAAACACTGAGCTCTGTTTCATCCCGCATGTAAACACAGTCAGTAAAGCTTTTCATCATTTGAGAAAAGGAAGTTTGCTGAATTTCGGCCTTTTCTATCTCAGAGCGTCACTTGTTCATGTGTTTGTTACAGCAGGGTTGATTACTGTAATGCTCTCCCTATGAACACAGTACATCCTGTACAACTCATACAAAATGCGGCAGCATGCGTCCTAACAAAAACAAAATAGAGATCATATCAGTCCCGTTCTGAAAGAACTGTACTGGCAGCTTGTATCTTTTAGGATAGATTTTAAAGTTCTAACTAGTCTTAAAGCACCGCTTACATCACAGAATGTCTGTTTATGTGATCTTAGATCTACAGATACTGGCCCTCTGCAAACAGCTTCTGTAAAATACAGAAAACAAGGAGAGGTTACGCTTTCAGTTACACTTCTAAAACTGAGAAACTCAGTTCCACCTTTTATTAGACAGTCAACCTCTGTGCATACTTTCAAGAAACATTTGACAATGTATCTCTTTAATTTAGCTTTTAGTTAAATTTTGACCTTTCTTGTTGTATTTGTGCAATGTCTTTACTTCATATGATTTAAATACTTTTTTCCACATATTGCTGAACAGTAACTACATAATAGAAGAAAATCAAGTTTCTCCTACTACTGTTAAACTTTATCACCTGTGTGTAAAGCACTTTGTGCTGCCACTGGTATAAAAAGTGCTCTATAAATAAATTATCATTAAACAAGCAAAGTGTGTTTGTGCATCCATGTTTTGATAGGATGGCAATAGTCATTAATTCTGCATCAGGAGTAGTGTAAAAAGGTTACTTATTAACCCTTTGTAACGGCTCCTGTACACAAATACAGAGTGTAGCCCTACATGTAAAGCCTGAGGTTAATGCAAATACTGTGTGAATATGATGGTTCAGTTACTCTTTCCTGATCATGTGTGTAGAATCTGTTTACAAAGTATGTTAATGAAACACCTATTTTGAATAAATACACTTGCATAAACCAGCTGGAGTATGCTTGTATTTCAAAAAACGGCAAATTGTACACACACTGAGCAAGAGTGCTAAAGCAGAAATGTAGCAAAGTGTATATGCATGCAAAATGTAGTATCTGTTCTCTAATCAGCTAACCAACACTGATGATGTGGCATAGAGCTGGCACACCATTTTGCAAGATGTTAAATCTGAATGTCAGAATTTTTTAAATAAACAGTTACACATGTTTTCTCCTTCAGTTTACAGTTTTATTTACAATTGTAAATAAAAACAAAATTTTAAATAACATGAAAATCATGTAATTCTGTGATATATTAAAATATGTAAATCAGGAATCTCAATTGAAGCAGTCCTCAACATCTGTGAAGTGTGTTTTAGAACTCCCTACATGAATCCATTATTGCTATGTACAAAAGCTAAACTGCCCACTGAAGACAAATTCCCATAGAAATCAGTACCTCAGTCATGACTTTTGGTGACAAATGCCAACCAAGGGCAATATTACATGTCTCTGTCCTTTCTCAGTTACAAAAAGCTCATGGCAGCTGAGAGAAAATTCATTGCTCCCTTTTATAATGTGTGTTACATTGTAAATGAGGAGGGGTTCTCATGATTGGATTCGCCAGATTTGTGTGCCGGAATGTAGAGTTCTGAGGTTTGCTGGGAGGAGCGTGCTGAAGAGAAGTATCTCTTCCCTAAGCACCACAGGTCTTCCATAATCTTACAGAAATGATTCCTGAACTTCACTCCGATGAAGGCGTAGAGGATAGGGTTGAGGCAGCAGTGGAGGTAGGCCACACACCGGGTTGCAGACAAAGCCAACAGAATGTTCTGTTCTGCCTCGCAGCTTCTCTCTCCGAACAGATTGCCAGTGTGGACCAGAATGAGGATGTTATAGGGGAGATGGCAGAGGATAAACACGATGACCACTGCCAGAACTACACGCACTGCCTTGTGCCTCTGGTAGTTCTGCGCCCTGAGCAGAGTTAACACAATGCTGCAGTAGCAGAAGCCCATCACAAACATGGGCACAAAGAAACCCACAGTGACCTGTGTGCTGGGCACCAGGACTCTCATCAGATTCGCTGTTGTACCTGTCTCCAAGCTGAGGACACACTCAGCTTCCTCCATTCCATCAAAGCTCTTCTCCACATACCGATCGTAGAAGATGAACGTTGGCATAGATAATGCAACGGCAAGAAGCCAGATTATGGAGGAAACTGAGCCCGGCTGTATATCTGGGCTTTGGTGCGAATTCCAATAGAACGGCTTGCTTTAACGATGGCCACGTAGCGGTCTCCACTAATGCAGGCCAACAGGAGCATGCTGCTGTACAGGTTGATGCTGTAGGTTCCTGTTAATAGTTTACATGCCCAGCTGCCCATGCTCCAGCTGTACTGCTCATTATATATGATCAGTGGCAGGGCAATGACAAAGAGGAGATCTGCTAAAGCCACATTGACTAGGTAGATGTCAGTCATGGTCTTGGCCTTTCTATAGAATGCATACGTCACAAGAACCAGAACATTGCCCACTAGTCCAAGGGCACAAATTAAAGAGTAGATGCAGGTTTGTATTGTCATTTGTTGTCCATGTTTACCTTTCAGATCACATGGTGATGTATCATCTCCCCCCCAGTCATAAAATGTAGAGTTATCATCTGTTTCATTACTGAAATCCATGTCTTGCGACATCCTGTAAAAAAAGAAGAATGAATGAAACACTAACTAGTCTGTATTTTATGTCACCTTACAACAGATGCTTCTTTGTCATTTTATCTCAAGCTGCAATGGCATCTAATTTAGGCCTGATTCAGTTGTGTTAAACTCTGAATTAAGTAGAACCAGTCTGATTTGATGCCCACACTAAAACAAGATGAGGGCATCATTTGCAATTGGATTCATTACATCTCTGTGGTCATTTCCTAGAAGAATACAGAACTCGCCTTCCCTAGAATTTGACGGCTGTAGTGGCACCATTTGTTCAGGTGAAGGCACTGCTTGGAAATCAAGAGTAAATATAAGTCATACAATACTTTTACAGAGGTGAATTAGAAGCATATTCAGAAAAATAATTATTCTGCTATCTCTGTGATGGCATATTACATCCTATTATGGCTGAAAGCAGGCCCAAAGCTGAGAAAGTTGTGCTGGATGCACTTTTTGACCCAAGAGATGATTTAAACTTCTACAGTCACTGCAGAGCTGTAGGAGTTAATGTCAAAAAGTGTGCATGCTATGTTCGGCTCAAAGACAGTTTGAGGTCCTTTGACAAAGAGACTAAGTGCTAAAACTTGCATAACATCCACATGTACATGGTACAGACGTCATCACTTTCCAAACTAACCATCTTATCTGTTTGAAATGAGCAACACACTGGTTAAGATGTTCTCTCTGGTGTCTCAAAGATGGCAGATTTCTAAGTATTTAATATTTATTAGGTTGAAGCTAATAAATGTTTCTGTGTATTAAATTTTGAGGACATACGTCTGTTGTCACAAGTGTGGTAGATAAACTATGAAAGCCACTTTTGACTATACCGTGTGAACTTTTTTCCTTCATGAACAGCTGATGTCATCAGAGATAACTCCACTAGAGTTCTAGCTACAAACATGAAAAGGCTTTTGTGTCCCCATTTCCTCGTCAGACATGCTAGGCGTGACATCAAGCTTATACTGTAATTTTAACACAGACAGGGGTGAGACGGTTACTTTGCCAAATGTTCCAGACTGCCGGTTACTGCAGTCACATTTCAGTCGCCGCATATTATAAGGGACACAATTCTATTAGAACTGACCACTTTCTGTTACTTATGTTTAGTAAATTTGATATTTTAATTCATAAAATAAAGTAGCAAATCCAAAAGTTTGGACGCATGTTTTTCTGATTTCCTAAATGAAAATAACTTCCACCAATTTCTCTAAATGTCTGCATAATTCAGTGGTTGAAATGTAAACAATGTCATTCAGAGTGGTTTAATGTGAAATGGTTCATTCGTAGAGAAACTTACTGACCCTTATTTATTTACCATATTTATTTACAGTGGTGGTGATAGGAGCCAGGGGTCCTGATGTCTACAACATAAATATAACCATTTTATTTATTTTTCAAAACCACCAGCGTACACAAGTCTTCTGAGGTTGTTATGTAATGATGATGATAAATAGTGGTAAATCTAAAGAAAAAAAAAAAGTTTTCTTTCAGGACTATTTTGCATTGCATTATTACTATTTTTAGAACATCCTTACTGTCTCCCTCCACCATTAACAGTTTCGAATAAATTGATTCAAATATGTTTTAGGCCAAAACTGATCTCAAAACTACTGTAAAACAATGTCTCAGACATCAGGCTGAGTATTCATAACCATTTAATGTAATAACTTTGTGTGATGTAGCTTTTAGAGGTCTTAAACTCTTCAGATGTCTGGTTGCCATCACCACCGCTGTGAACAATTCTGACTTACTAAGTTTCTCTAGAATTAAGCAATTTTGCACAAATCTACTCTAAATGACTTTGTTTACGTTTTAACCATTTAATTATGCTGCATTTTTGAAAAATCGGTGGAGTTCCCCTTTAAGACTTCCTTACAGAGAACACACTTCTGTGCATTTTAATGCACAATTACTGTTTATTTGCTGAAGTTAACATGTTAATATATATACATACTTATAATTTAAAACGTAAAACGTTGCCTGTGAAAAAAGTTTTGACACATTTTATACTCAGCAAAGAAATAAGAAATGTTGCAGAGAATGTCATATTTAGGTCAGCTCTCTGTGGAGGATGTGTTATTTAACTCTCAGCAAAACATAATTTGACTGGAAGTGTTCAAAGTTTTGCCTATGACTGTATCTGTAACTGGAAGTGGGAACACCACAAGGATGTGTTAGTTCTCTGCTTCTGTTTACATTGTATACAAATGATTGTCAAGCTCAGGAACCAGATATTTTTATTTTCAACTATTCTGATGATTCTGAGTTACTTGCTGTATTAATCTATTTCAGCACGGTGTTAATAGGCTTGCAGGCCGGTGCAACCAAAATGCTCTTATTATCTACACAAGGAAGACAGAGGAGATTTTTTTGGTTTCTCTCCAGATTCATATCCACCTCTATTAAGAATTCATAATCAGGAAATTAAGCAGGTTCTGTCCTATAAATATCTTGATGTACATGTAGATGCAACACTGTCATGTCATACTGATTATGTCTGCAATAAGGTACAGCGAGTATCTTTTCCTTTGCAGGTTATGATCTTTTGGGGCCAATAATCAGATTTTGTTTTCTTTACACTACAGTAATCCAGAGTGTGATGCAATACTGTGTGACAGCATGGTATAGTTGTTTGGTGAAATTAAGGACTAGACTGCTTAGATTGAAATGAATTTGTTCTAAGATTGTAGGTCTTTGGATTTCCTATAGATTTTACAACATCTATAGGAAAAAGTATGGTAAGATCAGAATGTAGTATCACATTTTCTATATGGTCAAAGCAACATCTTGCCTTTGGTGCTTGTTTATCCCTCAGTCAGTTGTGATACTTAATCAAAAGAGCCTGTTTAGATAAGTAAATATGTAGCAACATATACACTTACAGTGCATGATTAAGGGTAGTGGAGAGCACTGTGGAATCTGGAGATGTTGTAAAGTGCATTGTTGTGATTTGCTGTAAGGCTGTTTGTCTGTGAAAGTTTTTTTTTTTGGCTTAATTGAGCCGCTGTGATGCGAGACATGTTTCAGAGAAATCTGACAATAAAGTGTGTCAGTATGAACAGTGGTACATAAACCAGGCCATATTTGTACCTCTACTCAAGTTTTTTTGAAAGGGTCTATTCCAAAAGTATCTATTCCAAAATAAATACTTTTACCGAGTATGAGTTTATGTTACTTCACATACCTTTTCCAAATAGCTAGAACAGGTGTGTTGGGAGCTGAGCTAGAGCAAAAACGTGGGATGTCTAGTGTTGCCTTTGAGGATTGGTTTGACTGCTGGTGTATTAGGAGCTCAAAGAAATACCATTTCTCTCTTAATTTGGCTGTTTTACAATATCCATACTAAAATACTGGATAACAGTGAGTAGCTGCATCAACAACACTGTGCAAAAGTCAGAGACCACCCTTCATTTGTTTAATTTCCAGTCAAAACAGCTACATTTTTCAATTTTTCAGGAAAAAATTCTGAATAGATTAGATATGACATTATCCACTTGCAAAAGGAAGAAAGTCAAGGCAAAATAAGTGAAAAAACAGGAGTTTCCAAAACTGGTTTTTAAAATGGTTAAAAGATACAGAGACTAACAACTGCGCAAGACCTGGTAGACCACCAAAACCGTCCCCATCAGATAAACAGTACTTAAAGCTTTCATCTTTGAGAAAGAGGACAAAATCAAGCTTGCTTCAGATGTGAAAAAACCCACAGGTGTTTCTGTCCATCCTTCCACTGCCAGAAAACAACTCAACACTATGAGTCTGAAAGGATGTGTAGCTGTCAAAGGAGAGACAATAACTGCCAAAAAACGGAATAACGTTTGCAAATTGAGCAAAGAAGCTGCTGGTGTTCTCAGAACAATGGACTGATCACCCCTTGACACATTTCAATGTGTTTGAGATCACTTCGATCATGAGAAGCAGAAACTGCAGCCAGCTCATAAGACTGACATTTGGAGATTTCTTTGAAAAACTGAAAGCAAGTCTCCCAGAAGATAAAAGCTGTAATAAAGGCAAAGAGTGAACATATCAAACTCTGAAAAGAGATACTCTTTCAGTTGTTGAAGCTTCTCTGTAATATTTTGTTAAATGAATACATCTTGTACTTAATGACCATTTTGACTGGAAATGAAATAAATGAAAGATGGTCTCTCGTTTTGCACTGTGCTGTATACAGTATGATGGCTTTGGAACACAGATGCTTGAGTTGAAGCGGTACTGAGACTATGACAGATATTGCGCACCGTTTCTGTTCATGGCAGAATGTGGTAAGTGGGTAACCTACATGCCTGTTTCCCAGACCTGCTTGTTTCCGTTTGTTACTGAGTGAGTTATGTTCAGCAGGAAAACACTAAATATGCAGCGTAGTACATTACTCCAGGACTAATAATGGGAAACACTGTTCTAATCAGTAACAGCTGAATTTGCTGAGGCTTTAGTGTCCAACTGAGGAGCTCCTAGTCACCCTGGGACTAGCTCTGAGTTTGCTGACAGATACATATTATATGCTTGTACAATAATAAAACTATTTGGAGCTTTAAGTAATCTCTGTTGAACCAGTAGTTTGGACTGGCTGAAGCAGTCAGAGTGTGAGAAATGATTATGTATCAGTAGTTTGGACTGACTGAAGCAGTCAGAGTGTGAAAAATGACTATGTATCAGTAGTTTGGACTGACTAAAGCGGTCAGAGTGTGAGAAATGATTAATTATCATTAGTTTGGACTGACTGAAGCAGTCTACTTAAAGGAGAATTCCACTAATTTTTACAAAATAACTGCATAATTCAAACGTTCAGATGTAAACAACAGTCATTTAGAGTGGACTGATATGAAATGCTTCATTCTAGAGAAATGTACTGAGTAAGAATTGTTCAAACAGTGGCGAAGCAACATCTGAAGAGTTTAATGTCTCTAAAAGCTACATTAAAAGAAGCTCTTAGATAAATGGTTACAATTGTTTTATGATAGTTTTGAGACAAGCTTTTGGTCTCAAACACACACACACACACACACACACACACATATATATATATATATATATATATATATATATATATATAATATGTATAACTCACATATATATATTCATGCCAGAGAGGTACATATTGGCCATTGTCAGGCAAAATGAACTCTCAGAAATAAAGTTAGTAAACTGTCACTGGGGTGGGACCCTCAAGGGTACATTGCAGTACCTATAGTCAGGGAACATAATTGTACCATAATCCACTGAAGTCATATTTTCTAAGTTGTATAGACTCCACACACCCCGTCTCGTCTCCAGGCTTTTTATTTTATCTTTCTGTTTTAAAACATTAGGTTATGAAAGGGGACAAATATGTACTTTTCACCTGGAAAAACTTCTTTAAGATACAAAATTAGACCTTAAAACCACTGTTGTACCTTTGAGGGTACATTTACATTGTTTGTACCTTGAACAAAAAATGTACCTGCACAGAACCTTTATTTCTAACAGTGTAGCACTCAAAGAATCTGGGTCAGAAAGTTACACTACAGTAACAATTGCACATCAGACCACTCTGAATGATGTTGTTTACACCTCAACCACTGAATTATGCAGAATATTCAGGCTATTTAGGATGAAATCTTTTATACTAACACTGGAGCAGAAGTCTGAGGATATCTGTACTTAAATTAGGGCTGGGCAATATGACAATATTGTTATTGTTATAAATTATGTCACAATACAATACAACACGCTTTCCTTAACATGTTGTGGATCTCATTAGTACTTGTAGAATGAGTACCTAAGGAACCTTTAAATGCATGGTTCTATAGAGAACCATGACACTTTTTAAACTTTAAAGACACTTTTACATAATATAAAGGCTCTAAATCAAAGACTTTTTTCACAGAACTACACATCCAAACCAAGAGCCATTTAGGCGCCTCTATTTGTGAGAGTGTAAAATAAAGGCATTTATTGTTTTATTTCTGTGTTTTCCAGTTTCAGCCACTTTTATGCAGGCAAAGCATAACACTGCAATTATCTATACATTTTTGCTTCCCAACTCAAAGAGTAATTCCACTTGTTTGAAAGCTTGTCGGTGGCTCATGTCTATTTCTTTTTGACGCCTGTGAATCAGACAACTGACCTGATTAGAGATGAGAAAAATAGGACATGCACAAGCAGCCTTGTTCCTACACAGAGAACAACAAACAGGGTAGTGTACCTGAGCTATGTGCTCCCAGCTTAGACGTCCTCTTCTTCTTCTTAAAAAGTAAGTAAACAGCAAGCTGGTCTGGTCCAACTTCAAGAGTTCAGCCAAAAGACACCTGAGATTTGGCTCTTGTGAGAGATGCCCCTTTTATGAGGTGGGACCTGCTCCTCTGGATCATGCAGCCAAACAGTGTTGACAGTTTGTTGTTGGTGTTGCACCTACACGGCTCCTTTAATCTGCCGAGGCTTGCAGTCCTTTTGAGTAACTTCCTACCTGTGATGACAAAATATGTACAGTTAGCTGTAGTCAGCCAGTCTGCACTCCAGACAGCTTTTCAAAGAGCTCTGAGAACTGATACCATCTTAGATACAGTTTAGGTGTGTTCCACTGCATTTTTTCCCCTCTTTAGCTATTATACATTTCGATGGAAAGGCAGGGTTGCATGTGTTATTCATGACAAATGATGGGTAGCGTGTGTATTTATACATCTGTGAAGGTGCACAAAAGAGGTGAAAACATTTCAAAGAAAATGCTTAACATGAAATGACCCTAAACAATTCAACTACAGTAATATTAATTGAAGAAAACATTCTATTCTTCATACTGCTGCGAGTTCCTGTCAGTGCATTTACATCCCGTATTGTTCCTCTTATCATCTCTTAACATCTCATTTAATCTAGCTTATGTAATTTTTCAGCCTTCTGCCCTTACAGTCCTCCTGCTAGCTCGAACACTGAACATATACTGACTGAATATGTGTCTGAACTTTTAGTACTTAAAGTGTGCTGTGGTAAAGACATCTGTTCACAAAAAAAGAAAGAAAAGAAGCCTTTAAAATGAACCTCGCTTCCATAGTTTGGGTTTTGGCTCCTGCATAGTAGAGTCCTGGTTTTCTGAGCATTGTCAGAAAGAATTCCAGGCTTAGAATAATTTATATTGTGAAATACATATTGCAAATATATATTATCCTAACAGAAACATTAAAATCGTTTACCTGAGGCATCAGAGGGTTTTGGTGAGGTGAACAAACTCAGAAAGTGCTGTTTTAATAATGCACAACCTTTATAGATCAGTAGGGAAGTCACACATGGTATTGTCACAAGGTATTGTGTCATTTAACAACACGTGATTTATAATTCATCGCCACTGATTTAAATATCAAGTAAAACTGATGAAGTGTTTGAGAATTCTACTTTTGATATTTAAAATTAAAAAACAAGACAAAAATCAAAAAACAAGACTTAAATCTCTAAGCGATACAATATGGTAGATGTTCGATTTTTATTGAATATACTTTATTGTTCCCTCTGAGAAACTAAAGTGTACATCTTTAGTTTGTTGACCTAATTAAAGTCTCCAAGCTACATAACAATCTAAAATAATATGAAATTTTAATAGTGCCTTTACAAAATATATAGTTTGTGATTTTTTTTAGAGGTGTTTTGTGGTGTGGGAAGGTTTTAGAGCTGCACTGCGCTGCCCCCTAGTGGTAACACCACAGCTGTCAAAGCAATGAGAGCTGGAAATTTCCTCTTGACGGTTTATCAAAAGGTTCCTCAAACATTTTCGTATGTGTCATCAGTCATGACAGTTCTGTGAGCAGTTTGTGACCACAAACCACTTAATAAAGCAAATACATTTCTGATGTAGTTAAGTTCTGTACAAAGTGGAATAACAAACTTTTAGGTTAGATTTTGAACCGACTTCATAAACTTGAATGAATATAGTTCATTATCAGATACAACACTGAAATACAAGAAGGCCACACTACGATTTCTAATGTATCGCTTTCATGATGAAGGTGAATGTGTCTTCCCTGCTGAAAACAGACCATTAGAATCAATAGGATTAAAACCTGATGGCTTAATGGTTACAATTAGAGACCGCTTGTTTCCTGTAGGACACCTTTAGATCTTATTAGGAAACCCTTAAATGCTTCTGTGGTCAGTCCCAGAACACCTGCTAAACCGTTAGAGTCCTTTACACTGTGATATCAACCCATCAGGAAAACACAGAATACCAATATAGACTATTGGACACCACTAAGAACCAACCGAAACTTTTAAACTTTTTTTAAAACTTTTAATGGTTTCTATTCTTTTTCAGCAGGGTTACCAAAGGTGTAAATATAATATCTGTCTGAAGATTATATGGCAGTTTTGTGTAGCTACAAATGTTACATAAATGCCTGTCGTTTTAGTTATAAGTATAAACCATGTAGTAGTAATCCACCAAGAGGTCAGGTGACATAAAGTAGTTTCCCTACTTTTAGAGACACATGTCCCCATTTGTTGTCGGTTTATGTAGGTTAACTTTAGCTAGCTGGCTAACATGACCAATAGTGTGGTGCATGTGACCAATCAAACTATTGGTCATATTAGCCAGCTAGCCAAAAAAATATAACCTACATAAAAATGATAAACATCAAGAGACTGATTTTTCTGTACACTCTGGCACTGGACTCATGATTGCTTTAACAAAATTGCTCAATTTAACTACATTTCGTTCTGTAATTCTTCCTAAAACAACTAGCTAACCATACATATCTTTTTTGTTTCCCTGTGGATCGTTTATCAGTAGGTCTAAATTTAACCCATTTTATTTCTCCTCTTTACTACAGTCTCCAAACTGTGTGACTCATTTACGTGTATGGTCAATTAAATTCCTATAAATGAGCTTGCTGTGTTACCCATGGAGCGCAGTAGTCGTTTTTTTTTTCTATGTAGGGAATAGGGAGCAAGGGAACGGCGGAAGCATTTGGAGCAGAGCACGGTGCTCGGATTCCAAAGCCTCCAATTGGTTTAGAATTTGGAACGCATGTAAACACCTGATTGGACCGTTCCTGGGCTGGTCGTGTTCTAAACCAATCAGAGCCAGACACGGCGAGTTTCGGTTCCCTCCACAAACTCCGCTTGGCAACTGAGGGTTCTTCATTCGGACCAGGGCAATTCCAGCAGGCTTTCAGGGTGCACCTGCAAACATGGGGCTCTTACATGGTATGTCGTTGTGACTTAACTGCTTATTGTTTTTGTTCACTAGCAAGAAACTGTGTTATAATTTTCTCCTGTCTTTGCTACCAGACAGACGGTTTGCTGTAGCCAGCTGTAAAATATTTCTAGTAACCTACCTGTCGAGTATTCAGGTGTGGTAGCATCTTCCCTAAGTGGAGATGCAGCTCACTGTGCTTCAGAAGGGTGCAAATATAACAAGCATAAGATAAGAAAAATGAAAAGGAAGAAAATACATGATAATGTTACTTGAATGCTAAAGTAAGTTTGAATTTGGAGTCAAATCAGCGGAGCAAATCTTCTACGAAGTAGCTTATTGTTCGAATTTTCCCGTTCCACCTTAAATTGTGCATCAGTTACGTTCTGAATGTAAGTGCTGGATAGGACTGCTACATCATTTAAGGTGGAACGGGGAAATTCCTACAAGAAACTGGCGAATACAAAGCCAGCTTTAGCCTCGTAAATCTGCTAGTAGTGCTGTTAAATGTTGGATTAACTAACATTAATTGTCGAACACCATTTTTTTATGTTGAGCAGTTGGAGCCAAGCTTGAGCCCCGTCTCGTTTGCAAAGCGACAGAGCTTCATTTGGTTATAATGATAACGTATCTGACCTTCATTTTCATCATCGTTCTTCTGGCACTTAGGCAGCAGCTGTCATAAGTACATGCACGTCTACGTGCTTTATGTCAGTGCCTCTATCTCCATCCAGGTGTGCTGGTTTCTGCTCTCATCCTTGCTGTCCATGGATTCTACACAGCCAGTGATGATGTAGTAGAGCTCAACCCTTCCAACTTCAACAAACAGGTGCTGCAAAGTGACAGTCTTTGGCTGATTGAGTTCTACGCGCCCTGGTGAGTCTTTTCATGTTTCATCAGGAAACATAATACATAGTACATAACAGCAACATATAGTAACCTGTTCCTTGGTGTGAACCTGCTATAATGTTTTGGTAAATTGACAGGGTTTGATGTGAGTGGAGATGTAAGGGGATGTTATACCCCAATCCCCAAAAATCTCCCTTTTCCATTTATGCATTACTTCAGTAATTCTGATTAATGTACAAGATCTAAGGTAATCAATAAATTTTAGTTTTTTTCCTGTACTGAAAGTATAAGTGTAGTTCCAGTTTATAAGCAACAACCCATTCAGTCATGTGAATCTTCCACTCTTCTGCAAATTATCATACAATCACTGTGGGCTGGATATTTCAATTATTGAGTATTACGATACATTGGCTTTGTCATAATTGTATATTAGGCACAAGACATTTGGGATTTCTCTGTCATTAAAAAAGAAAGCCCGAAGTGGATCACCCCAGTTGTAATGACATGGCAATCTCTAGACTTGTATTGAATACACCACACCTGCCTTATGCTTATTTCACACTTCTTTTTACCACATTACTGTCCCAATATCCTGTGTGTGTATATATGGTACAACTAGTATTCCACAATTATTTGGTGGACTTAGAAGGCGTCTCGTCACTGACTTAATCCACATACCATAATCTGAGTGTTCTGTTGAATCCTAATTCTAAATTTCATATCATAACTCCGATGTCCAGTGTTGTTCTGGACATTGGAGGATGGGTTCACTTTTTGAGTCTTGATTCTCTCAGTGGTTCTTCCTTATGCTCTTAGGAAGTTTCTTTTTTTGTGTCTTGGTTCCTTACAGTCATTCTTCCTCATGCTCTTGATGAGTTTCTCCTTTTGAGTCTTGGTTACTCTCAGTGTTTTTTCCTCACGCCCTTTCCTTTTCTTGGTCTTAGTCCTGAATATCCTGGATCTGTATTTAATGTGCTTTTTGTCAATGTATTCCTAACCTTCTAAATGTATTATTAACCTTCTTACCTGCTGAATGCATCTATGCCAAGAGATCAGATTAAAGCGGTATTGATGGAACAGTTCATTATCAGTGTAATGTGTGAGAATGAGGAGGGGCAGTCACAACAGGGCCCAGTGTGGCTTTATTTTCAGGATGCAGTGAGCTACAGTTTCTCACACATGTGTTTGTTCCCACAGGTGTGGTCACTGCCAAAGACTTACACCTGACTGGAAAAAAGCTGCCACTGCTTTGAAGGTAATTTCTTGAGTTTCTAATTCAGCTCAGTGATACGCTGTTAACACCACCTGCACTGCACTGTCCAGTGAATAACAGAGCTTGTTTTTTATATTCAGGGCATTGTGAAGGTTGGAGCAGTAGATGCTGATCAGCACAAGTCTCTTGCCAGTCAGTATGGCATCCAGGGCTTTCCTACCATAAAAATCTTTGGAGCTAACAAAAATAACCCTGAGGATTACCAAGGTAAGTGTTGCATCATGGCTGATTTCGCTACTTCTTCTGATGGCCGTTCCACAGTCCCTTCTTCATTGCATGACATTTAACATTCCTCAGTCTCATTCACTTTATGCTGGCTCATTTCTAATCTTGCTTTTGTTCCTGTTTTTTCCTTTCCTCTCCTCCTCTGGTCAGGTGGTCGTACAAGTCAGGCTATAGTGGAAGGAGCCATGACGGCACTGCGCTCTTTGGTGAAGGATAGACTCAGTGGACGGACTGGAGGCTCTGGCCAGAGTAAACAGGTATGCTAGTTTCTCATTTCTTTCTTCACTCCATGGTCTATTTTTTCTGTGATCCATAAATATGATTCTATGAGGTAGTTATTCTTACCTACTTTTGTAGATAGAGCAGCTGATGGTGGTCTTTGCTTTTGTAGAACACGCTATAGTTCTCCTGCTTTACCAAAAAAAGGGGAAAAAATATGCCAAATAATTTGGACCACTTCCGTTGGTCCTTTTGTGTTGAAAGTGTAAATATCAGCAAGCATTTTCAAATGATTTGAAAAATAAATACCCATAAAAATACTCATAAGGTTTTGACATAATAGCAAAGGTACATAGCGGACTGTACAAAAGTCTCAGAAGTCACCTAAGCGCATTGTTTAAAACCATTTTTCTCAGCAATTTTTGTGTATGTTTGCCAATAAAAACATAATACACCACTACAATAGATGCAAATAAACATATATACAGTAAAAAGTAACAAGAATTTCATAATGTAGAAGTTGATAGTTGATATCTTGTGAGCTAGTTCGAATGGCAAAGTTCGGTTCTCGATGTCTCCTGAATTTATAGCCATTGTAATAATTTAAATTTCCTCACCAGAACACTTGTTTTAATGTAATGAAGTACGAATTAGCCAAACCATTTGTTTGTTTTAATATCATTTATATTTATTTTAATATCTGTGTTTCTCTGAGCAACTAAATGCTTACTGTGCAAATAAATAGCTTTTTAATGCTTATTTTCTCACGCACCTAAAACTTTCCCACAGTGTCATGTATTATGTGATTGTACTGGGAAGTGACCTTGGATGATGTTGTGTTTGTGTACAACAGAGTGGTGGAGGCAGTGGAGCAGGCAATAAGAAGGACGTGGTGGAGCTGACTGACGATAACTTTGACAGACTGGTGCTAAATGGAGACGAGGTCTGGATGGTGGAATTCTTTGCTCCTTGGTGTGGCCACTGCAAGAGGTGAGTTTATTCTCAGCCCACACTACAACAAGAATATTGTCTTAGTGTTAATTTATAGCTTTCAGTAAAGACTGTCTGCATTCTCTAATAAATGCCTACACTCTCTCAGGCTGGAGCCAGAGTGGACTGCAGCGGCAACAGAGGTCAAAGAACAGACAAAGGGCAAAGTGAAGCTGGGTGCTGTGGACGCTACTGTGCATCAAGGCCTGGCCAGCCGTTACGGTGTAAGGACACCAGTGTGGAAAAGCACACAGCCAAGCACAGTCTTTAAATTTCATAGCAAAAATAGCATTTTATTGATATTAGTAGATTAAGTGGTTAAAACTGTTTAGGATCAGTTTTACCTGGAGAGGTACAATAATTTAAGTGATTGCCAAAGAGATCTATGGATTTTATTCTAGTATGAAAGTGCTGTTTTAACAGTCTGATAATAATAATTGTAGACTGAATTGCTTTTTGTAACTGGCTGAACTGGCTAATTGTAGTCCTGATCAAAATGTTGTCACAATTTATTGACAAAACCTTTTAATAGACACAGTGAGCAGCTTGTTTTAGGGGTTGAATAATTAAAAAAAATTTCATTCCTAGTAGTTTGATTAGATAAGGTGGCATCTCATTTCTTAAGTTTTTAAACACAACAAAAATGAAGAGTCCTTGAAAATTTGAGTTATTTTAATAGATTAATGTTTCCATTTTTTCTTTATTAGAGCTTTTACCATGATAAAAGTACAAGATTTAAGTTTTGCCTCATCATACACAAGCTAATATATTGGTTTCTTAGCAGCATAGAAACAGTGAACAAAACTGTTCTTCATAGTGTAACGATCTAATGCACTAGCCATTGGCTAATATATTAGCTTATGGCCAGTGCATTCGATTGAGGCTAACACTCTACCCATGATACATCACGATATGTTATGATACAATATAATGCACTATATTGTTACACCCTTGGCAAGTTATTACATAGTTATTGAGTATGGTGTCTGCTTCATATCTAACATATTTAGTCAGGATCTGACATTTAAATCCAGGTTATCTAGTATTAATTTGGGAAATCATAGAGGAAATTATAGATATCCGGTATGAACGGGGCAATAAAATCCTTTACAAATTACATTGCACAGCCTCCTCTGGTAAAACTAATTCAACTCAAATCAACACAAAAAAAAATATGTATTTTGTTTTGTTGGTTGATAATCATCATTGCTGCTGTCCATTCAGATACGTGGCTTTCCCACCATTAAAATCTTCAGTAAAGGAGAGAATCCAGAGGATTATGAAGGAGGAAGGACTCGGTCTGATATTGTGGCCCGTGCCTTGGAGCTGTTCTCTGCAAATGCTCCTCCTCCTGAGGTGACCGAGGTACGTCTGCTGTGTCCCTCTGTCTTATCCTAGAAGTAAAGTCTAAACCAATACATGTTCTGCAGAAAGTATCAGATGTTTTCAATATTATTATGTGGTAAATATTTCAATAGTGTAACTTTTGATAATTGAAATGATTGAATTAAATTGGTAAAACCAAGTATTGGTGAATCAAGTAGTTCAAGGTATTCACATGTTCTACTTGTGACGCTCAAGTGCTGAGTTTTATACATCATATCTATGATAGATTGAAACAAAGTTCTGTTATGCTACAGCCTTGTAAAAAAAGACTGAAAGAGGTTTGAGATACCGCAGGTGCTATAAATCCCTTCACTGCAAAGCAGGAAATACCATCGCTTTGTCTAACATTCTCACAGACAAGCATCCTGACCACTACAAAGATCTGAAAAGGTCTTTTCCTGTGTAGTGACTCACGAATCGCCTTGTGGCATTGTAGCTGTACTTTTTGCCATAGTATTATTGTGTTATTGGGCTTTATGATACGAAGCTTGGAATTGATCTCAAAGTCTGGTATCATAACCATCAGAACTGCAATAAAATGTTTATTACTGCAAGAGGCCCTTTTTTACACATTGCAAACTTTGAGCTTTATACTCTTGTTCTCCCCAGATTCTTAACCAGGATATTTTCAAGAAGACCTGTGATGACCACCAGCTTTGTATTATAGCAGTGCTTCCTCATATTCTTGATACAGGTACCTCCTTCCTCACTGGAAGAGGAAATCAACTAATTATACTGCAGCAAATCAGAGCGCTCACTACAGTGATTTTTTTTTAATTATGCCATTTTCACACTTAGGTCTGAACTTATGTCTCTGTCATTCTATAGGTGCATCAGGAAGAAACAGCTATTTGGACGTGATGAGGACGATGGCTGAGAAATATAAGAAGAAGATTTGGGGGTTTGTGTCTGAATCCATTGATTTTTGATACATTTTTCTACCACAGTGCATTAGCTTTTTCGATTTGTCTCAATTGTTGCTGTGGATTGGATGTTTCCTACAAATTCCTAAATTCGTCATGTTATCCTTCATGTCTCTTCTAGCCCCCATTCAGCTCTGTGTCTGTTTCTTCATTTCTGTCTTGTGCAGCTGGCTGTGGACTGAGGCTGGAGCTCAGATGGAGCTGGAGTCCTCTCTGGGCATCGGTGGTTTTGGGTACCCAGCCATGGCTGCCATCAATGCTCGCAAAATGAAGTTTTCTCTGTTGAAGGGCTCTTTCAGTGACACAGGCATCCATGAGTTCCTCAGGTTTGTCAATTTGCAAACTTGCTGTTGAATATCATGTTTAAAATGTACCAAACCAGCATGGGTGATGTTATTCTGATTTATGTGTGATGTTATTGTGGTGAACGTTTATTCTCTATTACAGGGATCTGTCTGTTGGCCGTGGGTCCACTTCTCCGGTTGGAGGAGGAGCATTACCAAAAATTCACACTGTAGAAGCCTGGGATGGCAAGGATGGCCAGGTAAGCTCATTCTGAAAACTCTCAGCTACCATATTTAAATGAGCTGTTTCAAATGACCACTGCTATTGGTCAGATATTGTATTTCTACAGTTACAGTTAGTACAGTGACGCTTACTGGGCTATGATTTAGCTCAAGGTTTGTCACAGTGTCCTTCGAAACCATATTCCTCACCCATAACTAACATTTTCTGTTGTTTTTTTTTTTGTTCTTCTTCTTTAAATATTAATTTTCTAATTACTGTATCTAACTATTTCCCAACAGCTTCCAGAAGAAGAAGATATTGATCTCAGTGATGTGGACTTGGATGATTTTGAAAAAGATGAGTTGTGAGAACCACTTGTTGCTCTGAAGCTGTTCTCTCGTATTCAGGTCCTTTTTATACACTGATTTCCTCTCCTATGGAAGAGGACCAAAGGTTAAAGGTGAAACAGAGGAAAAATACTCTGCAACCTTCAAAACTTGAGTTGTGGCCTGTTTACCGCAGAGTAGTCCTCTAAAATCTGGAGTTAGGGCCACTAGCAGGCACCAAGTACTTGTTACAGTGCCTTAAACCTGCTCTTCTGCCTTTTATTGGATATGACAAGCCTTGTTTTAAAAAGACTTACTATTAGTTCTGTGATTGTCAGAAATATAGAGCAAGCTGTTTCTGTTTGAGGTAATTCAGGAAAGGGAAGAACTTAATACTGTCTTGTTTACTTTGCACATGGTGTCTGTTCAGTTAAATGGCTGTTAAGTTCAAATAAAGGTGTTTGAGAGTGATACTTGTCCATTTTTTAAATTTTGTTGCATTTTATGCCGATTCTGTCCAGGTTTTCTATGTTGCTGCAGTTTTACCGTTAAACCACTAGAGTGTGCCAGAACGCAATGCTCAATCCTCACAGACTACAGGTTTGACATGGAGTCTTATTTATTCAGAAATTGAAAGAAATAGTATTTTGTTTACATGTAAATGCTGTAATTTCTTGAACGTTTTTTACTAAAAAATCCCTGCCTGTCCAGCTCTTCACAAAAATAGCTCAGTAATATTGCTTGTTGCATTAACGAACGAGATGGTGGGTGTAAAACAATTCTTCTTTGTAGAGCATCTTTACCCCTTTAGAGTTTATGATTATATTTGTTATCTGAACCTGGAAACTCTAAGAAAGAAATCCTATTCTGAGTCTTCCTTGTTGTGTAAATATAAATGGTGATCATACAGTCTAAACGTCTTGCATGTCTTATTGGTCCTTTTTTATTCAAACCTGTGTGATGACAAACCTGTCCGATCACAAAAACTCTAATACTCAGCATCTCATTTTAGAGCTTTTGCTCAAGTTGCAGGAATATAAGGTACAAGTCTCTTGTTTTGGTCTATATACATCTGACTGCTAGCTGGAGTCCAGCAAGTTGATGTTGATGGAGTAGCAGATGTAGGAGTAATACTCCTGCTGTCCAGCATTAACTCCTGGGATGTCAACCCCCATCTAGAAACACAAGAACATGCATTTTAATACCTTACAGGAGTATTTTATCAATAAATCAAATCAACATGATTTTCCCCTTACTTTGAAAGAATGCTCTGGCCAAAATTAAGGGGGTGCCACAACAGTGTCTAGAGTGAGATTTTCTGTTTTTTGAACAACTACAAGTGCTTTCAGGCAGATACATGAGGGGAGGTTGTTTGTATAATAATAATAATAATATATTATTATTATTATTATAGATTTTTTGCTAAATTTATTAGCCTCTACATCAGTGGCTACACTGCATTATCACAGTGGAGAGATTCTCACTGGCTGCATGACTTGTTTCCATAAGGCATGCTGGATACAATATAGCTATAGATATAGAATATTGTATAACACTACAAATAACATATTAAATATTAATTTCAGGCTAGAATGCCCCTTTAAATGCTGTAAACCTGGACAAAAGTACAGAAAATAAGCAGACTACTGTTGCTACTACTACTATGTAATATGCTTATTCCTTTTTATATTGATAACCTATAATTATCTATAGATTCATAGATTATGGATCACTGGTCACCATCCCTCTTCCTGGACATCTACTTTCCTACAGAGTTAAGTTTCAACCTGCATCTAACATTCTGCCCCTCCCTTATCGTACACTAATGCATCTGATCCAGCCAATCAAAGACGTCTGAAGAAGTTAATTAGCTGGAGCGGGTGTGGCAGATTGTAGTTGGAACTAGATTTAACAGGAAAGTTGATCTTCAGGACCAGGGTTGGTGACCACTGTCATAGATGTTATAGATTGTTTCTGCTAATTGTTGGAGTCTAACCTTCCAGTAGTTCTTAGCTATTTAACTCCAGCGCAAAAATAAAGAGGCAAACATTGGACGCCAAACTTTTCTTTGCGATGTACTACGAATGGTAAGGAAAGAAATGTGTAAATTAGATTTTTCGCCAGACTTGTTGATTTAAAAGCACAATGCAGCTGCTATTTACATTGTAGATAGTTTTCTATAGAGGTTGTTTGATAGTGGGATTATAATGTTCTCAGGGCAGCCAAAGGAGCATCAGTCTTCAGGGCCATGTTCTCTGTCTGAACACATTCACAGACATAAACAAGGTGAATTTCTCACATCTGGTTTGCTGGCTGCTGCTGTAGGGTCCAAGTCCCTGAATAAGGAGTTGAGCTCCTCTCTCAGCCGCTTTGCATGCTTCTTCTCTGGCTGCAGTAGAAGAGTCTGGAAACTGACCGGCAGGCCGTACCTGACCCACAACAACACCAGTCCAGTACTTTAACAGAAGAATCTTATGCTTACAACTTAGACGCAGTGATTGCCACATCAGTTTTTCAGTCCTAAATCTTTACCTGAGAACTGACTCTGCGAACACTCTAAGGGCCTTGATGTGGATCCAGGCCACAAACACTTCAGTGAAATTCACCTTCAGCCAGCGCACAAATGTTCCCTGGTGGCACAAATGATTCTGAAGTTAGTGTTAGCAAAGAATTGAATAATGAAGCAGTATTCAGATCACTTAAAACTTGCTTCGTCACATGATGCCACACCAAAACAAGTGGATTCTAAACCCTTTCTCAACAGTTTATACTCATTTGCCTATAGAGGTCACCAACCTTCCTTGTGGAGATGTAATCCCACACAAAAAAGTAATGTGACAATGTATTTTATTTCTATTCTGAAAACATGTTAACAACATAGAGCAGCATATTTTCATAGGTGTTCTAATAGAGTTCAGTTCTCACACATACGATCCAGTTGCTAAACATTTTCAAAAGAAATGTATTAGCTGGATCAAATGTAAAAGATTACTGTTGGAACAAAACTGCAGGAAGGTAAATGTCCAGGAGGAGGGTTGCTATTACTGTAAGGTTTAGACATGTGTAAGTCCTACTCACATACTGTTCTTTCTTATCCACAATAAGACGGTTCATCTCTTGCCTTTGCTTCTCTGCTTCCTCTAAGTTGAATTCTCGCACTGTAAATCTATTGAGAACCAACATTTTATTGGTAATATATTATTCAGTTTTTAAGAGTAACTTTCACAGAGTTGTGTAATGTGTAGTTGTGGTCACTCACTTGTGCTTGTTGGCATTGGCTTTGAATTCACTGACAGCTTTTTTGAAGAGTGTCACCGTGAAAATCCCAGCATCCTTCTCCTCCAGCAACTTCCTTTGACACACACACACATAATGAACATTCCAACCATTTTTCAAAAAGCTTACGTAGTTTGTTGAGATATAAACAAAGTCATTCAGTGTGGCTTAATATGATATAAAATGGTTCACTGAAACATACTGAGTTCTATTTTCTTTATATGTAATGCTGATAAGGAATGAGTAGTGGAAAAAAGTATTCTTCTGGTACTATTTTGCTGTAAAACACTCTGCCTGTACTTCTCCAGCATGAATGAATTAAGAATACATTTTAGGCACAAAGCTTATTGAAAAACTATCATAAAACCATGTCTCAGACATCAGGCATTAAATTGAATTCTGACTCTTTCTAGAATAGCACATTTCACATAAAACCACTTTACAACAATGTATATGTTATATATACACACCCTATATGGCCAAAAGCATGGAACTAAGTGGCTTAGCCCAAACCCTGGAACACAGCCCCAGACCATTATCCCTCTTCCACCAAATTTTACTGGTTGCACTATGTATTCCAGTGGGTAGCGTTCTCCTAGCATCTGCCAAACCCAGATAACATTAGACCGCCAGATAGTGACGTGTAATTCATCACTCCAGAGAACACATTTCTACTGCTCTAAGGTCCCTTGGCAGCATGCTTAACACCACTCTAGTTTCATGAAGCTCCTGATATACAGTTCTTGTGTTAATCGTTGCAGATTGTTGGAAGTCTGTTACAACTAACATCGTTAAATTACACAACTAAATTATGCAGATTTTTAAAATTGTTGGAATTGTCCTTTACAATGGTTTTGTAATGGTGTTAAAGCAGCAGGAGGTCTGCTGAAACATTACCAGCATACAGGACAGGGAAAAGGTTATGGTATGCATTTTAAGCTAATTTTTAAACATTTAGATTGAATTGATTGATAGTTAACTTTCATTCATTTTTAACGTTGAAATCATCAGTAAGCTGTCAATTGTTTTTGATATGGATATTTACTGATGCAATATATGGTGAAAAATGTCCAATGAAATATTTTTAAAACAAGCCACGACCAGGTTCTACATTGTGAACAGCAAGTTACAGTACACAGTGCTTCTGCTGAGCCAGACTGCAGAGGAGGAAGTAAAGTGGGGCAATTAGAGTCAATGAGAAGGATCCTGGCTTCCAGACTGTGGTGAGACAAACTCTTGCTTTCCGTTAGTAACTTTACACTGGTGTGAATTTAACCTTCAGACCCATGGCTAGAGGAAAGGAGGTGAGCTGTACTGCAGTCACGACTGGCAAATTACTGAGCAGAGCTATAAATGCTATAAACTAACCTGCTGGAGCGAGGAACCACAAAATCTGACATGGACTCATAGGTGTTCTCCCACAGGCTATCGTTTGACCTGTAGAGGTACATTGTAGTATAGAGTCAAAAGATTGTTACAGTCAAATAGACTAAACAGCCTAATAACTACTGTGTAAAACTGAGTAAAATGTTTGTTTTGCTAAATTGATAATGGACTGGAAAGACAACCTGGCCTAAAAGTAATGCACTGAATTTACCTGATTCAAATGTGCATATTATTTATCCAAGATTGTGCCAATGTAATGTATTTTACTGATGTGGAAATTATGTAGATATTTGAATCAAGTAAATTCAGGCCATTACTTTTGTCAGTGTCATTAACCTGCACCGTAAAAAAAAGTATTTTCACTGTCAAAGAACTGTAAAATTTAATGGTCAATACAATGGTCAATTTTATGAAATAAACAGTTAAAAGCATGCAAATAAACCTTACGTATACTGTATTTTAACACTAATGTTGTTAATCTAAAGAAATTTAATGTAAATTCACTAAAACAAATGATCACCACAGACATTTGCTTATTTTAATGGTTGTTACTGTTACTATCATTGTATAATCATTTATGTCAGAATAACTTGTTTGAGCCTTTTTTACAAATTTTACCATCATTGAGAAAACATATTTTTGCATTTAATTAACGGGTTTTCTTTGGTAGCCCTTCTGCTAGACTTTTTCCTGTTTTTTTACAGATTTCTGTTTTATACAGTGTGTACTGACCTGGGCACCACTACTAGTAATGTGGTCAGATACTCAGAGTTGAGGACCAAGTCTTCCTTCTTCACAATGCCGGTCAAAGTGCGGGTCTGCAGGCTTCCCCTGGTGAATTAAAACAATGGATATCACTGGTAAGTGCTATTTTTACACTGTTTATCTTCTTTACTTGAGAGAAAAGGCCTGTTATATTATTTCTAGTTATACTTCATTATTTCAGTTGACTAGAACTCACTCTGTTTTCTGCTCAAGGCCTTGCAGTCTGGCTTTCATGTCATTGTACACAATGCTACGAGACTTCAGTTCTGTCTCCACCTGAGACACTTGCTGAAACAGACACATGCAACCACCAACACAGATACACACACATGAATATTAACGGCATTAAGGATATGATAGGACATTATTCTGATTACGTAGTGTCGGTGAAGTCAGTGTAGGGTGTATACCTTGGAGATAATCTCGGTCAGTGTTTTTAGAGACAGGGCAGTGGGGTACTTGGCTCTGTCCCATTGGAACTTTGTCACATATGTAGCGAGGTCCACTGAAATATCAAGTGCAAGGTCATGGGAGAAAAAACTAAACTAATCTCCACCACAGCACAGAATGGATGGTGTTTGAATGATACTCCATCATTCATGGCACTCCATTCCTCAATAAGAGGCAGAGAGCACTTCAAAAGTTCAAAGGCTTTCAATGAAAATGAAACACACCATGCTAGTTAGTCCTGCAGTGTCAGAATGAACGAGGAAATAAAACAAAACTAATGCACAAGCTCCAAACACATGCCAGCGTACCCCGCAAGGCCTGAAAGTAAACTTTCAAGGGTGACTGTGGAACTCTGCGATGGCCCTTGTGCTCTGGTGGGATTATAAACAGATGGATGTGGTATTATTACAGGTTAGAAATATAGATTTTTAGATATATTTTTAAAAATAAACCTATACACATTTTTTCAGATTGCTCCAAATACACTTATTGGCCACTTTATCAGGCCCACTTACCATATGCACTCACTTAGTTACACACAATGGTGCGGAAAACAAAAAACATCCAGCGAGCAGATTTTGTAGTTGCAAACACCTTGTTGATGAGCAAGGTCAGTGGAGAATTGCGAGGCTTGTTCGGGCTGACAGGAAGGCTACAGTAACTCAAATATCTCCTCTTTACAACATTCGTGATCAGAAAAGCATGTCTGAATGCAAACATATCTGACCATAAGGTGGATGGGCTACAGCAGTAGAGGACTACATTGGCTTCTACCTCTGTCAGCCAAGAACAGGAATCTGAGTGGGCACCGACTCTCCCAAACTGGACAGCTGAAGATTGGAAATGTATGGTCTGGTCTGATCAATCTCGATTTTTGCTGTGACATGCAGATGGTAGAGACAGAATTTGGCATAAGCAGCATCCATTAACCCAACTTGCCTTGTGTAAACAGTTCAAGCTGATGTTGATAGTGTAATGGAGTGGGGAATGTATCCTTTACACACTCTGGGCTGATTGTATTCTTCACACATTCTAGGCTGAGTATTGTTGCTGATCATGTGCATCCTTTTACATTCAGCCAGATAATGTGCCTTGTCACAAAAGCACAAGTCATCCAAAACTGGTTCCATGAACATAACAATGAGTGTATTTTAGTGGCCTCCATAGTCTCCAGATCTGAATCCAATACAGCACCTTTAAGATACTGGTGGGGGTGACAAATATGCAAAAATTGTGTGATGAAATCATGTCAACATGGACCAGAATCTCTGAGGAATTTTCCCTGTTTAATACATGTCACAAAGAATTTAGATTGTTCTAAGAGCAAAGGGGGTCCAACCCAGAATAAGAATAGTGCTCTAAATAAAGTGACCGGTGCAGTAAAATGAAGGTGCAGTAGTGCTACAATTACAGTCTCTTTGCCTAATTTGTTCACCCCCTTTAATCTTTAAACAGCTCCATGTCACTGCTGGACTGAAAATAGAAACAAAACATATCCAGCCAACAGCATCCTGTGGCCAGAAACTGACCAATGATAAAGGACTAGAGAATGACTATCACAAACTGTACAGCAACAAATGAGCTATCATCGCTGACTCTACATCTACAAAGTGGACCAGCAAGGTAGGTGTGTCTAACAGAATGGACAGTAAATGGACACTCTGTCTGATCCCCTTGTACCACTAACATGATCACTAACTCACTAACCATGACAGTGTCAATGCAGTGCTGAGAATGATCCACCACCCAAATAATACCTGCTCTGTGGTGGTCCTGTGAGGGTCCTGAGCATTTATGAGTAGGGAAAAGAAGGGCTAAAAAATGCAGAGAAACAGATGGGCTACAGTCTGTAATTGTAGAATGACAAAATGCCCATGCATGGTAAGTGGACCTGATTAAAATGGACAGTGTAGTGTAAGTGTAGATAATGGGTAGGTGTACCTAATTTAGTGGTCAGTGATTTTCGGTCAATAAGCATGTACAACTTGTATGATAACTTTTACCTACTTAAGTAGAAGTGGCAACTCAACATGTCCTAAGCAAGGCAAAATATGACCTATACTTATCAGTGTGTATCTCAGTAGCTATATTCAAAAGAAAATAAAAGTAGAGAGCACTACCAGGAAAGACTTAATGATTCATGATACAGGTGTGCTACACAGAAAAAGGGCCTTCCATACTTTAGCTAGCAAATATAACTGTACCACATCCTTATCAGTTACAGTGTGTGTGTGTGCGTGTGTGTGTGTAATTCAGGTGCCGACACATTTGAATCATGTAAATTCGAAGGACCATCTTTATTTCAGTGTACAGAGGTAACAGGATCCATGGCTTGGCCTGGCTGAGATGAGTGGAGAGTGTAGATGACCAGAGGCATCTCTGTTAGTTAATGAGTTCCTCACTATTTCATGCTGAAAGGGGCTTTGTAGTCATTGGGACTGTTCTCTACACAATCATACCTCCATTTGCCAGGGCGTTCTCTATGACTTTGTCACAGGACTGCTCCATGACCTCCGCCATACACTGAGACGTCTTCCGCATAACACTGTATATGATACAGAGAGTCTGTCTGAGTTTATAAACAACATGACATCAGTGTTTAAAACTAGCTTTTCTAGACAACTGAGTCACTGCTAGTCATGTAGGTCTGAAAAAGCCATTTGTCCAGTTGTAGACTATGATTACGTTATAAAGTAATTGTGCCGTAATTGTGCCTCAACTGAAAAAGCGGTCCAGACTGAAACACTCCTTGTAACTTTACAAGGAGTGTTTCAGTCTGGACTGTTTTTTGAATTAAGGCACAATATAAGGCAGCCAATCAGAACATATGTCATTTACATATGTCAATCATGAGGGCACAGTAACAATAGCAGCCTGTTTAATTCTATGGGACAAAGAAAGGTTGGAAAGTAGTCATACAACATGTATTAAAACAATTTTTCGGACATAAAACCGTATACATATCATAAGGCGAACTCGGGGCAGGGGGTGATCACAAAAATGCAGAACATGGGCTCTTTAAAGCTACACTCAGATGCTTTCTTTCTGGAAAGTTCCAGTTACTCATCCATTTTCACGTTTCTTACTAAATAGATAAATATGGATCAGAATGTTAGAACAATTATTTCTACAATGCATAATCAGAACGATTAGTACTATCTAGACTGTGATTTGTGACTTATGAACTGTTTTGTGGTTTTAAAAATCCGCAGACAGGATTGTGGCTTTGAAACAGAGTAAAGAAGGAAAAATGCAGAGCACAGTTTCCACAACACAAGCACGCATGGAACATTGTGAGGTCGCACTTGAAATAAGAGACAGCTGGATTGAGTGTCTCAGTTAACGGCAATTGTGATACAGTTGCTTGTGAATTTTCCCACAGGGTGTTTTAAAGAACAAAACACACACAGGGCTATATCCTTCTACCAAACACTTACTACAGTCAAGATCAGGAACGAACATAACATATCATAAGAATGCTAATGGTAGAATCTGCCTGCATAGCCACTTTGCGCACAAAATAAAATGAGATTAATTACATTGAGATTTTTGATGCATGCAAGCATCTGCTATAACTAAATACAGGAATTAATTGACCAAAACAAACAGAATAAAAGTGACACATCTTTACTTTTGATCAAATGAATGTGTTCACATATCTTATATAATAATATTGATTCAATACCCATGTCAATTGAATTTATAGAATGTCCTTACCCCTCTGCATGTGAGTCCAGTCTGGAGAGGTCATCAGCCACACCCAGCAATACATCCAGAGTGCCCACCTGGTGTTAAACATTCATAGTCAACATCAACATATATTGTGTTAAAATAGCAAAATGTTTGAATGCATTCCCTTTCAAGACTGTTCTGTGAAAAAGAGGAATAAAGATGACATGAGGACATTAACTGCAGTTAGTTATGACCACCATCAATTTAGTTGCACCTTAAACATGTAAAAATCTAAGAAACAGAAAAAATCTAAGAAATGGAATGCATTGGCTTCTTTTACACTCATCACTGAAGTCATTATTCAGCATGCACTACTGCATATGCCCTGACATCTCTTCCGCAAGGGAATAACATCAGTGTGTTTAAACTGTGTAAGAATCAGTACAAGAAAATTACAAGCTGATTGTTAAAGATAGAAACCTGAGAGAACTACTTAATTAGTAGTGGCAACCCAACACGCACATCCTCTAGAAATGCACTGTGCACTCCTGATCCTGACCTACCATACGTGCCTTCTACACTAATTTGTTACACTTAATTGAACATCCAATAAGGCCAAATTCAACCTTCATAGATCTCCTACCCCTGAATGTTAATGGTGTGACATTCACAAAACAGATTTCACTCATTCTTACCTTCAGTTCAGGGATGATGAATCTGAAGCTGGACCCGAGGCCGGCTTTGGCTGCGGCCCGTTTGAGCTTCTCCAAAGACTGAGAACTGGCTTTGTCCAGCGGAACTGAGATCAGCCAAAACTCTGACATGACTCTCTCACCCACCCCGACCCGGCCCCTCTTTCTTTTTCAAAAGCTGTGATAAGAGGCGACATCAATTAAAACCATTCAAGGCCATTCACCATTTATGTCTTACAAAGAAACACTTTCATCTTTACAAAGACATGGTGAGATTATATGTCACCCTCCACTGACTTCAGTGTCTGGTAGGGTTGTGTTTCCAACACTGCAGAAATGAGCACTTAATGAGTCTAATTATCTTGCATTGAGGCAAAGTTGTCTTTACTTCTTACCTCTTACTTCTTACCTAATCTAATTAGTTACTTAATACTGCATATGAAATTACCGAGTTACAATTTGTATTTATTTTGGATATTTTGCATGCTAATCTCAGAACATTAGCATACAATTTTGCTTTTATCAAACTTTTACCTTTCATTTTCAACAGACAAACCCTGAAAGCAATACCTTCATAACTCGCAACCTGAAATATTGCTTATTCACTAATGTAGGGGACACAGCCGGCACTAGCTTTTTTGGGCTTCAAAAGTATCACAATTCAGTAACAAAAGTTTTATAAGGCTATTCAAGTTGTCGTTATTATAATGACCTAGACCAGCAATTATGCACAATATAATCTGCGATACATATTTCACTTAATGCCATAAATCCAGTAATTGGTTATTATTTAAACTAAACAACTAGATAGAAACAGTTGCATTTTTTCCAGAATATTTTTATTTTAAAAATTGTGATAAAATTGTTTGGTTACTCAGAAAATTCCAACATTATTTAACAGCAGTAATGTTAGACTCACTGCAACATTAATCACAAACAATCAGGTTTGCAACTTTTACCCACATTTTTAAAGTAACATTAATATAGTATATAGTAGCGGTCAGTTCCCTACCTTACATTAAAGGTCCATTCTGTGGCATAACCCGCAATGAAGGTGGATACAGTAGTGTTGTCAGCGTGTTAGACATAACATGGGCCGTTGGAAAGCAATTGTATCTGCCTTACACTATGGGAGTAACACAACACAATCTCAGGTAGGACTGTACCATATAACCTTGCCTCAGGGTGGGCTACATCATCTGACACAGCCTCAGGCTGGACTGTACCACTCCACACAGTTAGAACTATACCATCTTCAAAAGAACTAAGTAGAACCTAAAACCAGTGTAAAGATGGCAAGTTTGACTCAATTTACAGATTCTTTCAAACTGTCTGTGTCAATAAATTAATCTGATCTGGAATGTTTCAGCGTAGTTACATCACTGAGGAAGATCAGACAGTTTGATATGACTTCCTGATGGGTCTTCCTTGCTAACTTTGTATCTTTCAGACCACTGTTCTGGGAACCATTAAAGGATTGTATGTTTATTAGTCATCCTCGACACTTGACACTTGCCATTGCCATGACTTCAAGTGCAGTGCGGTGGATAAATACTTTACTTTACGAACACATTTATAATTTATTTGATAGCAATGAAAATGTGGTAAACCTGTCTTTACATATTGTTTTGAAGAGCAGAAGAAATGACAAATGGAAATCTGCTACAAAACTGCATTACAACATTTTTATTTTAATATTGTGGTAAAATTGGTGGATCACTAAGAAAATTGAATTATGCATAATTGCATGTGGATGGTAACCAAACCGATTCTTTCTGTCTTTCAATTAATCAAACTTCTGATTCAACAATTAATTGATTCAAAGGTAAAGTCAACTTTATTCTCGTGTCCTCATTCTACATACAGTAAAGTCCAGGCAAGTGCAGAGCCGTAACCTGGATCAAAATTTTAGTGAGGTCCATTTTGCAGAAAAGCGACCAGCGTCACACAGTGACTAAGCTATTTGATGAATATGAGTATCACACACATCACTGTCAGGTTCTCCTTTAGTAACCAATTCATTGCTCTTTTCTTACCCATCCATGACTGTACCTTTTCCTTTCCTTTATCCCTTTCTCATCCCTCCAGTCTTCCATAAACTGCCATTGCTGTTCCCTAAACTCCAGTTACTCAGTTTAATTAATCATTTAACTATTTAACTATATTTTTACTTTTCTGCTGAAAATACATACTGAAACCTATGTATCACTAATGCCGAAACAAAACTGTATATCTCCAAAATGACAACTTTAAGGGGCGCTGATAAGGAACCAAAGGCTTTGAAGTGAATAGCAATGGTTGCTAAGCAGTGATTGGAGGGCTGAGAAAATGAGGCGGAGCGTGGCTCAGAGCGTAATGATTTGATTGGCTATAACACAGCGACAACGTTCACAGAAAACAAATACAATGTTACATCTTAAAAAATCTGGCATAATAAATATTATTTTTCCATTTGATTGGGCAGGACTGTGAGGGCTGTGCCACTAATGAGGATTTCGCATCATCAAAACGCAGCTGTTTCTACATTAACTCTCATGAATGGAGATACGTACAGAGCCCTGCCGGTGAAATCCTGTATAAATAAAAATAATGCGTGGCCACGACTTAGTAAGGCATGGGAACAAGATAAGCCTTGAGCACAGCTTAATAAGGCATGATCTTGCTCCCACGCCTTACTAAGTTGTGGCCATGCATTATGATCTTGTCCCCACACGTTACTACGGCATATTGTGTGGCCACACATTATTTTTATTTATATGGGATGTCACCAGCAGGGGTCCATAGATATGTAGAAGAACCCCTCTGAAACTACCGAGGTCCAGACCTTAGTGTCCTTAGTTACTGGTGTGTTTGACAAAGGCGAATTTGTTTTGTGCTTCCTAAATAAAGGAGTTGGACTTGAAATGCACAAAAACAAACTCATAACAAAAAGAGGAATCTAGCTGCATAACACAGAAAGCAAATGTTCAGAAAATTTTAGATGCCTTTCGTAATATGTCTGTATGTGATGTTGTATTTTGTGATTTTCTGCCACTACATGTTGGAATATGATGATGATGATTAGTAGTAGGAACGTCAGTATAATTAGTAGTATTACGATTATCGTAATAACATTATTTTCAGCCTATAACACGGACATAATCTGCCGTAGATGCTACACAAACTCTTTATTTAGTTGTACTTTGACGGATTCATTAACCGATTTATTGAAAACAACTAGTTCAAAAGAACCGACTCTGTGGTGAACAGGACATCGGCCAGTAGACGGAACCAATGTGTTTTAAGTTACATGTTCCTCACGGACTGTAATCGGTAAACTCCGCAGTTTTTGTTGTTGTAACAACGTGGAGTGGAACTGCCGGCGATAGAGATTACAGTCATTCACAATTACAGCTTAATTCTTCAGATTATGTCCAATAAAGCCGTCTGACCATGCAGGTGTCCAGTGTGAACGATGTGAAGATATATAATCTGAGCCACGGAAAGTCTCTCCCTGAGGTAAAGCGCTGTTCTCTCTCTGCGGTCTGCCGGACTGACGTCAGTAAACTGTAAACTGGACTAAAAATCTACTAAAATCATCTACTTTTACTTTTAACTGTTTTGAAATTTATGAGGCTGAAGTCAGCTTTTTATTCCCCAGATTCTTGTTCGACTTTGCCCGTTCCACCTTAAATGGTACAGCCAGAATGTAACTGCTGCGCCATTTAAGGTGGAACGGGAAAATTCTGCCTAACAAGAAGCTTGAGAATAGGAGGCCAACTTCACCTTCGTTTAATACTGATGAACTCATAAGTTTTTAGGTTTGAAGACATTATTGTTGGCTTAAATTTGTTCTCGTTGCTGGTGATGGAGATGGTCTTGTGTTCTGTCTGTGCGAATGACCATGTCTAATCATTTTTACAGTGGTTGTCAGATCGAAAGAAGAGAGCCTTACAGAAGAAAGATGTTGGTGAGTGCATCTTATAAAGTCTGCTTGATACCACAGCCTGTTGATAGCATCATTATTTGGTAATGTATTTCAGATCACATTGGTTGTATCTTTTTCTAAAATCTCTTCTCTGCTCCACAGACATCCAGAGAAGGATTGAGCTCATTCAGGATTTTGAGATGCCCACTGTGTGCACCTCTATCAGAGTGTCACGGGATGGACAGTATGTTTTAGCTGCAGGTCTGTGACTCTGGTCTGTATTTAAAATCATTCTCTGTTACGCAGTGGTCTTATGACAGCAGCATGGACCACCTTACTACCGTTTAACGTTTTTTTCTTATATTAATTGATTGTAGGAACATACAAACCCAGGATCCGATGCTATGACGTCCATCAGTTGTCTCTGAAGTTTGAGAGATGTCTGGATTCTGATGGTAAGTCTTTACTCACAACAGCTCACAGCAAGAATAGTGTTATACCTATATAAAACATAACTACATTTAGATTGTTCCAGGTAGGTTTAAATGAGTTCTAGTTAGGTATTATGGCTGATTAAGCTATCAGAGAGGAATTTCACTTAGTGTAATTTTGTCATCCTCTCATAAAACAAAGCTGTCACATATGGAAGCCCATTTCTGCCGGCTAGAGAAGAAAAATAAATCGAATTTGTCTTTTTTCTTCGCCCTCTCAGTTTTACTTATTATTTATTTTCTCTTAATTTTGGCTTAGTGTTTCAACATAATTATTTTACTTTATTGCTGACTTTGAGTTAATACAAAATTCTGATATACTATTTTGAAATAAGTAATTATTTTGAGACAAAAAGTCACGATTCGGGGTCAATAACTTATTATTTAGATGTAATAGGTCAAATTTTCTGAGAAAACAAATAACTATTTTGACATAGCGAGTGAAAATCTCAAGAAAATAGGTAATTATTTTGACATGGACAAAACCTCAAGAAAATGTCATTCCTTGGACGTTCTAAATCAAGATATAGTCAGGATACGAATTCGAAATTCTGACAAAAAATCTAGGATGTTTAAAAATAGATTTTAGTTATATTGTGAGTGTTAGTTGTTGCATATAATTTGTGATGTAAAACATTATTGATGTACATTTTATGACCAAAAGTGGAGATCTCTCCTAGCATTTCATCCACACTCATTGCTAACAGGTGTATAAAATCAAGCACACAGCCATGCTATTTCCATAGACAAGCACTGGCAGTAGTATGGGTTGTACTGAAGAGTTTAGTGACTTTAAATGTGCCACTGTCATAGGAAGCCACTTTTGCCACAAGTCAGTTTGTGAAATTTCTACCCTGCTAGATCTGCCCTGGTCAACTGTAAGTGCTATTATTGTGAAAGAGAAGCATCTAGGAGCAACAACAACTTAGCCATGAAACAGTAGGCCACACAAACTCACAGAGTGGGGCCCGGGAATGCTGAAGCACATAGCATGTAAAAATCATCTATCTTCTGTTGCATCACTCACTACAGACTTTCAAACTGCTTCTGGAAGCAAAATCGGCACAAGAAGTATAAGTCAGGAGCTTCATGAAATGGGTTTCTGTGGCTAAGCAGCTGCACATAAGCCTAAGATTACTATGCGCAATGCTAAGCGTTGGCTAGAGTGGTGTAAAATAGCTGCCACTGGACTCTGGAGCAGTGGAAACGTGTTGTTTGGATTGATGAATCATACTGCACTCTCTGGCAGTCTGATGATAATGGTCTGGGGATGTTTTCCAGGGTGTGGGCTTGACCCCTTAGTTCCAGTGAAGGATAATGTTAATGCTACAGCATACAAAGACATTTTAGACAATTATATGCTTCCAGCTGTGTGACAACAGTTTGGGGAAGAGCCCTTCCTGTTCCAGTGTGACTGTGCCTCTGTTCACAAAGCGAGCTTCATAGACAGGACTTGATGAGTTTGGTGTGGAGGAGCTCCAGTGGCCTGCACTGAGCCCTGAGCTCAAATCCACTGAACATTGGATGAACTGGAACATCGATTGTGAGCCAAGCCTTCTCATCCATCATCACTGTCCGACCTTACAAATGCTCTTTTGACTGAATGGGCAAAAATTCCCACAGACACACATGAAAGTTTTGTGAAAAAGCCTTCCCAGAAGAGCAGAGGTTGTTATAGCTGCAAATGTGGGGCGACTCCATATTAAAGCCCATGGTTTTGGAATGGAATGTCTATCTTGCTCATATGTGTCATAGTCAGTGTCTACATACTTTTGGCCATATAATATATATTAAGAGTAATATCTTGATGTATGCTTTTGGAGATGACACAGATTCTCAGGTATTGCACTCTTTCATCACCTAGCTTATAAAATTGACTTTGTAAGGGTACTAGTGAGAATCAGATGCTTTGGATCAATAAAGATAGTAACGCTTGACTTAATTTGCTTTAGAACAGTGAGATCATCAGTGACCTTCACTGTGCTTGTGATACAGCCTTGACTAGAACTGAAACCAGATACCACAGATGTTATCAGCCTCTAGGATGTGGTGGTGTGTGTACAAGCTGTTTTAAAAGTATTTTAAATACACAGGGTGAGAAAGAACCTGAGGTATCTTGTAACGGCTACAATCAGCTTGATTGCCATCTTAAAATAGAAGTCTCAAAACTGACTGACCTCCACTCGCTTTGGACTTGAGTGGAAAGATGGAAAGGTTAGAAAGGAGTCAGGCTGGGGCTTCACTAATGGGAGTGTCAGTCTAAAAGATGAACGGAGCCATATGAACCTGCAGTCCTGCGGCCCCAACTTCAGGATCAAATGCTAACCAGTCATTTTGAATTCTTGATTGTCTACTTCTTTGCCAAACAAGAGTTTTTCATTGTGACATAGTTTATATAGGCCATTCCTGAAAGGGTTTTTTTATTGTTGACGTTGTTCAAAGCAAAAATTTGTATCAAGCTGCTTGGACTTAAAGTGTACATTATAGAGCTGTAGGCAGATACAGTGTCCTCTAGAAGTACTTTACCAACAGTGGCATTGAACTGGCTGTTTCTCTTCGGATTAACGACTGAAATCCTCCGTTCTATAAGAGAAAAAAAACCTACTTTACTTTTAATGTAAGTCAATGGAACCAGACTTTTTTCCAAGTAATTGTGGGCCGTTTCTTTTGGTCCATTCTTCATGAAATTTACACGCAATGTAAAGGCCAACATTTTCAAATTGTGTCAAAAACTGAAAAACGACAAAAATGGAGATATTAGGTTTTCTTCCAACAGCAGCGATATAATAATATATTTTCCAGTATTTAGAGGATCGTTTATTACGGCTTCCATTTTCTGAGAGACCTGCTTTCAAGTTTTCAAAGAAATCTGAAGGGATATTTTTCCACACTTCCAAAGTTCAGTCTTAGAAGTTGGTTGCATTTTCTACCTCTCACAATTAAAGTAACCCCCATTGCAAATGCATACCCATCAGACCATAAGACCTTATTCCACATTCTTCTCAGATATCTAGTTCTGCTATTCTAGTGCAGTTTCTTTCTTTGATTCTTTGTTTCTTTGTTTCTTTTCCTCAGTATTGTCTTCTATGCAGCTACACATCCTTTCAGTCCTATAGTGTTGAGTTGTGGAGCTTGATTATTCTTCTCTTTCTCAAAACTAAAAGCGTTATGTACTGTTTATCTGATGGTGACAGTTTTGGGGGTCCACCAGGTCTTCCACAGTTGTTAGGAGTCACGTTTCTTTGTATCTTTTCATCATTTTTAGCTCCGAGTTTGAAATATGTTTTTCACTTATTTTCCATTGACTTTTCTTTATGCACATGAGAGAGAAATTTACAAGGCAGCTGAGGTGTGTTTGGGTAGTTTGTGTGAATGTTAGTGTCTCTGAAGGGGAACATAATGTCAGTGACACCTTTGGAAATGTTTTGTCGGGAAGACACAGCTGTGACTCGTTTGATTTAAAATTGGAAGGATGGAAGAGTTAAAGTGTGAGTTCTGTGGAATTTCTGTTGGTACTGAAAAAAAACCTTCTATTTAATGACAGTTTAGACTGGAAATTAAGTAAACTAAAGGGTGCTCTCTGACTTTTGCGCTGGTTTTGCACATTCGTAGTGAGAATATAGGTGTGACTGTTTTCTTGATTTAAGCCTCGTGCTTTTTGTATCTGGTGTTTGGCTTCAGAGTCTGTAGACATAAATAAACACAAAGACTCAGTAGATGTCTGAAAGAAGTGGAGCACGCAGTGTTAAATGGAATCTTACACACTCTGTCTGTGTTAAATACAATAATGCCAGAAAATGAATCTAAACAATCTAAATAGCCAAAGCTCTTCCTTTCACAGGTCACATTTAAGTCTGAACACGTACAGCTGACTTTTCTTTTATCTAGATTACATGCACTTGGCACTTAAGTCATAATCCATCTGCACCAGTAGCCTTGACCGTCGTAGCTGCCCTTGAGCCGTCCGTGCAGAGAGAGCTGTGTGAGGGTTTGAGTGGCTCTTTTGTTGGAAGAGGATCTCCGTCTCTCAGTGATGGTGTCGGGTAATCAGTCACACACCAGTGGTGCTGAACGCTCCTCTCCATAATGAAAGCCCAGCTCAGTGGATGAGTAGCACTCTGCTTAATATTTAAAAAGCAAGCAGACAGACAAGCGCATGCCTGTTTACTTCATGCCCAAACAGTAAACTGTGCGAGGGGTGAAATAGAGAGATGCATTTCAAGTAAACAAGAGGAAGTGAATTCTTTTATATGTTGTTTGTTGGTGGTAATTGTCATTATTTTCATGTGGAAGGGGTCATTGTGATGATTTTGTCCTCAATATCTCTGTTACAGTATTAGCGTTGAGCTAAAGGAGTGGGACGGCCTATAAGGGGGGTCACACCGTGTCTTTTGTGGCTGTCTTTGCACCCTGCAGGCACCCTGATTTGGAGAAAGTCAAAGCGGTTAGTTAGCCTATATCATAGCCTTGATCAAAGGTAAGGTGGGCAGTAATGGAGATGAGTTTAGTGGTTGCAGTCTGTCAGGGATAGAAATCATAACATAAACAAATATGTGTTTAGCTTGTTTCTGTTAGCAGCACTTAGTTTGCTAGTCAGCCATCCGTGATCTGGAAAGAGCAGAACTATGGGTGGAAAGAATGGAGAGTTCCCCTCTCCTTACATTCAGGTCCCCTGCGATGTACAGTGAACTGCTTCTCTTAAAGGTGCAGTGACTTGCTGGAGATTCATGTCCTTGTCTGCACTCCCAGATAAAATACACAATACAGTCCAATAAGAGAGCTTAAACAGCTGGTGGGAACTGGCAATAAATCACATCACACGTCTTTGCTATAAAATGACTAGACAGCCTAGATGTCTGGCTAATGTTGAAAAAGTTGAAATGTTGAGATTTTTGCCAAATATTAATCTAATTTTATTCCCTCGCAGTGGTGACCTTTGACGTCCTGTCTGATGACTATTCTAAGGTAAGTGTTTTGTCTTAGACTTCAAAAAAAAAAAAACTGAAAGTGTGAAAAATGTTGGTCTTATTATTGCAACATGTAAATTGCTGTAAATTGGAGGTGGATTAACCTTATGTGTTTGTGTCTGTGTTTGTCTGTAAATAGCTGGTGTTTTTGCATATCGACCGATATGTGGAGTTCCATTCCCAGCACGGACACTACTACAAGACACGCATCCCTAAGTTTGGGCGAGATTTTTCCTACCACTACCCATCCTGTGATCTGTACTTTGTAGGGGCCAGGTAAGAGACCAGACCTACAGAATGTTCACTCATGTCCCTGAAATGCAGTTGATAAAGTTATAAGATTTGACATTAGTTATTTTATGATACACCAGTATCTACAGGCGTATGTAAAAATTTGAACTCTTCTGGTCAAATTACATTTTTTGTTGATTTTCTTATTGAACATAAGTCAACACCTCTACAGACAACAAGCCTAAATGTGTCATTTTTCTACAGATTTCTTGTGCACAAGTTGTTATTTTTTATTTTTTTTGTTTAACATGGGAAAAAAATTAAACACAAAATTGAAGATCTGCCGTAGCTTTTGCACAGGCCATTTTTTAATGTTTTATTTCATTTAGTTTTACCCAGTATGCTAAATTATACAAATAATAAACAGTTGTTTATACGTTTAAATTTGCAAAATTGTATTCCCTGTAAAAGATGTGTTAACTTATTTTCACTTAGGAAATCAACAAAACATGTCATTTGACCAGGGACGCCAACATTTTTGTGTACAACTGTGTGTAATATAATTAGTTTTACTTCACTTTGTTCACTTTGTTATGTTACATAATTTTTCCTCACTTCCATTTCTTTTAAATAATGCAGTGACCTTGAGTAATGTGACATCTGTTGTGTAAGTTCAGTTTGGTTCTGTTTCTGTTTTTCAGCTCAGAGATCTACCGACTGAACCTCGAGCAGGGCAGGTTCCTCAACTCTCTGCAGACAGATGCAACGTAAGTGCTCAGCCAATAGAGGGCATAATAGCAGCAGCACAGTGCAAATCCCTCTGTTCTGCTTTGAGTGCTAGTTAAAATGAGAAGAATGAGACTCATTTATGAATATGTAACATAACCATCAGTAATTCTAAACAAATGTGTTAAAAATATATTTTCTTTACAAACGCTGCATCGTGCAACATATTTTCTGTCTTAATAAATAAATAAATAAACTTATTTCTCTACAGAGAGATCAATGTCTGTGACATCAACCCCGTTCATCACTTATTTGCTGCAGGGACCTTGGAGGTGGGTATTGTGTGCAGTCATGTAGCATTCTAGGTTAAGATTTATTTAACATATACTTTAATGTTTTTATTAAACATATGCTTTAATTCCATTAAGTTATATTGTGTAACAGTGGTGTTAGGACTCTTGGAGTGCTGAAGTCCTACACCTTTTGGTCATTGTTCTGACCAATTTGGTCATTGTTCTGCTCAAATACAGCAACTCATTACTTAATTAATTAATAAAAATTCATTTATGCTGCATTTGACTAAAGCTCTTACCCCAAAATTTACAATGTCCGATTAGAAAGAAGCAAAGAAAGCTGGAAAAGTGTGTACTTAATTCCGGGTTCAGCATATAAGGTCATATTAACATGGCTGCTCATAACATCAGCAGCAATAAAGTACCACTTCTCTAATTTTAAATGAGAATATGGTAGCATTTTACCACTGTCCAATAAATGTAAAGAGATTTTATTCTAAGTATTTTTGGAGCATTTATATTGGGCCATTCATCGTGGAATGTTTGCATAATGTAGAGGAAAGCTGCTGTATTCCAAAGATGTAGAACAATAAAAATGGATGATTGTTTGGACAACCAAGATTTGCTTTAGATCTGTCAACCTACAGTAGTTGGTTAAAACAATATTGACTGTTTTGAGAAAGTAAACACATCATGGATCACTCATATCACTCTTGTTAGCTTGTTAGCTTGTTGCTAACAATATTCATAGAGGCGTCCATGTTTTTCCCTACTTCATAGCTTGGATACACGGAGGTCAAAACGATTCATAAGGAGTTCCCACTTCCAAGTTAATTCAAACTCAGCACTAGTATGGAAATCAGCAAACTGTGCTGGACTCAGTTCGCCACTGCTGTTCTGTAGGTTAACTTTTCATCCCTTAGACCTAAACAGGCTGATTTTGTTACTCTACCTGTAAGACTGATGTATGTAAATGAGTTCTGTTCTGATTGCCTGACCTGTGTTGCGCCAAATTAAAAAAGCAGTCAAGGCTGAAACACGCCTTATAACATCAGTGTAAGCAGTCAGGGCTAAGCTACATTTTTAAAGGCAGTTATATGTCAGTGTATTGGGTTTTATGACATTAGAAAAAACAACCAATTCAAAAGAGACTGAGAGACTCCAGCTTCCTTTCTATATATGGACTGTATGGACCTGGAAGTGAACAGAATATTCTGGAGCTTCAACAGTTTTAACGTACCATTGCAAACCTTTTGTTTCAAAAAATGTGAGGAAAACTTAGCTTTCCATGAAACTTTAATAATCAGGTGATGAGCTGGATCGGTGAGTTAGGTTAGGGTACACTGAAACTGTGCTGGGCACTGGTTCTCTAGGACCAGAATCAACTGTGCATGGCACTGACTGTGCATGTGTATTGTGTTACCATTTACAGGGGAAAGTGGAGTGCTGGGACCCTCGCATGCGCAGTCGAGTGGCAGTTCTGGACTGTGCTCTCAGCAGCGTGACTGAAGGAACAGAGTAAGCTGTGTTCTCATGCCCTTAAGCTCACCTCTGCACTCTGCTCTCACATGCTGTAGACTCAGTGAACACAGACTCTGATAGTCCAATCTGGGTAATCAAGGAAACATTTTTACACTGCATTATTAAGTCAGCAGAAAAGGAAATAGGATTGATTTCATGAGTAAATCCGATTGGTTAACAGTCTAATAGCTGATGGCTGTGATCTTGATTTAGACATTGCATGAGAGTATGCTTAAAGCACCATTAGCCTCCTTAAAGCCTTTTACGTTATAATGCTTATCATTGAAACAGTTATGATATTTATGATATTTTTTCAGTGGCTACTACTGGCTGCAAAACACTTGCAGGGGTCTTTACAGTACCAGTTTACAGAGCTACCTCTACTATATCATGTGTACATGTGTGTTTCTTTTGCTTTACAGAGTGGAGGGCTTGCCTTCTGTCAGTGCACTCAAGTTTAATGCCTCCCTCGGTATGGCTGTGGGCACTACCACCGGACAGGTCTGTTGCTAGTAGCACATTTAAGGTTTTACTTGATCTGTTTGTGCCTTCTGGTTGGTATTAGCAAGTATTAGCAAGAGGAAAAAATGGAAAGAAGTCACTGGGCAGCGTTTTTGTGGCGTTTATGAACATGATCTTTAGTCAGTAATTAAGCATCTACACTACAGTCAATTCCAGTGGTCCCTGAAACCAGGGACTTTGTACCAAATCCTTACTGATATCACATATAACATAATTGATAGCACTATAAGATTACCTACTTTAGAAGTGATTTGATGCGATTTTCAGTTTTCTTTAACAAAATCTCAAACCCTTGAATTTTTATAGGAAAAAAGGCCAGTTGTTTGAGAATGTATGTGTGCAAAGCACAAGCTTCTCCCCCTTCCCTTGCACTTCACTCTAATAGGATGCGCCAGATATTTAGTTTGGATCAGTGACAGTGGTTTCAGTTAAAGTTGACAAATGTGACTCTTTCGGAAGAAGCTGGGGGGGAAATTGGCAATACAGTTCATTTTTTCGATATTTTATTGAGATTGTTATACGCTTATTTAGAAGCCTTACATATTTTAGAAATAATTACTATCTGGGCCTTACTTTAGAACCAGTTACCATTGATTCTGTGTTGCATGTCCTCAAATCAGATGTCTGAATCAGTGTGGAAATCCAGCTCCACCGAATGGAAATCAAGATGTAAGCAAAGAGTAACCACAGCTTTTCTGCCTCTGCAGGTATTGCTGTATGACCTGCGTTCCTCTCACCCCCTACTTGTGAAGGACCATTATTATGGCTTGCCCATCCATTCTATTCATTTCCATGAGCAACTGGACCTGGTGCTGTCAGCGGACTCTAAAATCATAAAGATGTGGCACAAAGACAACGTGAGTCGATACCTTCATCACCCCTAAGCCTTGTGTCTGGCCTGCACAGTTGTATTATGTTCAAAACAAACATGATTTTTTTTTTTTCCCTCCCTACTTCAGGGTAAAATGTTTTCCTCCATCGAGCCTTCAGCCAACATCAATGATGTTTGTGTTTATCCTGGTTCAGGTAAGTTCTGTTCTTTTAATATCTTCACCTTATGACTGAACCCTGCCTTCACTAAAGGCTGTTTACACTGAATGAGTGCTCCTTTATTTAGACAGTGACCTCTCTGTGATGATTTTTAAATCTCCTTTTTATTTTTACACATCTACTCTGCACCACTGCAAATCTTACTTAATTTAAAATAGAGTTCATGAAAAACCATCATCAGCCTAGAAAGACTTTTAATTAGAAAGAGTTTTAATTGAATCATTAATGTTGAAGAATGTTTGCTCACTAAAGAAATGTTCTAATTAACCAGTTAAAGATGCAGTTTCCCTGACGGTAATTGACTCATCTGCTGCCGGAATGTACAATCAGCCCTTTGTCTTAATGGTTTGCATATGTCACGTTCTTTAGAAGGAACCATAAAGATGTACACAGAATGCGTATGGGACCCATTTCTCACCAGTCAGCTTGTTCATTTGGGCTTATGTCACACTTTAGCCTGGCATTCGTGGCGTTTGCTTGTAGCAACAGCGTGTTGATTTTGCGAGGTCAAGTATGAAAGTCACACAAGACTGGTCAGCTAATCACCCTATGTCATTTAAAATGTTCAGAAAATTAAATATATCATTGCTGTTGAGCTAACATGTTTATTGTTTTTGCTCTGTTTTGAAGGTATGCTCTTCACTGCCAATGAAGACCCCAAAATGAATACATTTTACATTCCTGTAAGTTCCTACAAAAAGGTTACTACTGTTCAAATATTGCATGCAGTAAACAGGGAATCCTTCAGGTTGACTGTACTTGGAGTTCCTAGCATCACAGAACATCAGATTTCAGAGTATCAGCACCCTGTTTTGACACCTTTGTGAATAGTAAGCAGTCACTGATGAGTCATTGTGTTGACATGTACATATTTCCTCACATATTACATACGTACATATTTATCACTTTTCTTTGTCATTGTAAACAAGTAGTTTATCGTTAAAATTAGTTTTTTTTTTTCAAAGTAAACTGTAACAGAATCAGAACTATCCTTCTGTGGAATGGAGCCTGCATGGGCCCAGTTCCAGAGCAAGCTTGCGGAATGAGAGGACGATAGAGGAGAACTGAGGACAAATGCACTTGTTTAAATATTAACATGCACCTTCAGGATCAGCACTAAAACGTGACTCACTGTTCTTCACAGACTGACGTGCTCAAAGAAATATGCCTCAGCATCTGTTTTTTTTTGTATCTTAAAAAGCTAAGCCACACTCTATGTCCAAAAGTATCTAGACAACCCTTCTAATAGGTAAATTTCATATTAGTCTAATTACTTTAAGCACCATTCATGCAACCCTTCATAGAAAGCAGAGCCAGTAGAATGGAACGCTCTGGAGCAGCTGCACATGAGCATAATGCCACCATGCCCAATGCCAGGCATCAGCTAAAAGTATATAATGCTCCACAACATTGGGCTGTGGAGCAGGAGAACTGCATTGTCTGGAGTGATGGAGCTCTATCTAGTACCTTTGGGTTTGACGTGGAGATTATTTCTGAAATAACCACCAATCATCAGTGCCTGATCTCACTGATGTTTTTGTGACTTTAACGCAACCCAGTCCTCACAGCAATGTTTCAACGTCTAGTTAAAGCCATCCCAGAAGAGTAGAGGCCGTTACTGCACCTTGATTTCTGAGAAATGTTGGATGAGCAGGTGTCTACATACTTTTATATGTGTAGGATATGTTCCTTTTGCAAGACTCATTAAGCAGTTATTCTGTTCTAATGTATCAAAGCCAGTTTTAATATGCTTGTGCTGGGTTATAATCACACCATCACTTTGTGTCCTTCTCCTCCCCTCTGTGGTCTCTCAGGCTCTGGGTCCAGCACCACGCTGGTGCTCTTTCTTGGATAACCTGACCGAGGAACTGGAGGAGAACCCAGAAAGCACAGTCTATGACGACTACAAGTTTGTCACACGGAAAGACCTGGACAACCTCGGTAAGTTCCACACTGTTCTGTGTGGCTTTGTGCTTTGTTCTCTTAACGAATGTTCTGTTTACAACTGGTGAGACCAAGAAGAAGGGCCATCTGGCTGAAACTGTATATGAGCAGAATGACGAACGTCATTGGTGGAGACACTGTGTGGCCAACTCTCTCAAATAATCATGATAAAGTTTGTTTAGTGTCTTTTTTAACCACACGAGAAGGCCTTACATAAAACACATCCTGTGTCCGAATTTGTCCAGGCTTATCTCCTATCTGGAAGTTCTGTGTCTATTCTTAGAACCTTGTTTAACAGAAAAGTTTTTTTCTGGTCCTGTACTGTGAATGCCTGCATGGTGAAACTGTCTGCAGCCATATTTGAAACTCTCGGAAGATGACAGTTCACAGCAGTCTTGCCATGACAGTAGAAAGTTTCTAAGGAGAGCATTACATGAATCATTTAAAATCAGGAATTGCTGCTGATGGTAGGCAGATTTTTGGTACCGTAACAATAGAACAGTAATGCTGCTGCAACTAATAGCATAGATTTACCTTACTCACTGTTAGTCACTAATTTGAAAGCAGTTTTGATGGTGTAATTGTTGGAATAAGACTACTTTCAGAGATATATTTCTGCCAGTGATTAAAAGAATGATATATGTTTTCATGGCTGGAGTCATTAAGTGTAATGACTGATTAGGTAGTTTATCTCGGCTGTAGAGAATAAACCGTTGCAGTAAAAGGTGGAATTAAGCTGAGGGAACATGATCTTTTGAAGATGAGATCAGGTTGAGGGAGGTGACAAGGTGGGAAACATGAAGGCGAAGTCCCAGGAATGCTGCCATCAGCAGAAAACAGATCAAATGATGCCGGGGTGCAGGGAAAAGAGCAGAGGAGTGGAGGAGAGATGGGGAGGGCCAGGAGGTTCACCACAGCTGTGGAATGCTGGCATTATATAACAGAGGGGCTGAAGAGGAGGGGGTGGTGATATGTCTGCTGGCTTTTTTTCTTCTTCATCTTCTCCTTTGCGTGCCATAACCGTGCCAAGGTCACACACACAGGGCTCCCTGCCACTCTGTTTGCCACAAGCTTTGGTCCCCCACTGAGCTTTTGCGTAGCATGAAGAAAAGAATAGCTTTCACAATACAATAGACTCTCAAACTGAACTGACGTGCAAAAACAAAGAACTTAGTTTGTCTGAGATGTTATCACTGTTGAGTTCAGTTTTCCATTTAGAGTCCATTTAGAGTTAACCCTTTAAAAGTTGCAGTTATCGCTGGCGTCAATCACTGAAATAGGTGGAGAAATTCTGTCAAAAGTGCAAATAGAAAACAAAAATATTAGATCTTAGTAATACAGAATTTAAATTAAATGTAAAGGTAATTCTTTATGCTATAGCACATAGGAAGTATTGCAGAAAAGCGCTGATAAATTAGAAGCTCAAGTTTATTTTACACTCTACTGGTTTACATTTAATAGAATAAAACTTAGCAATTTATCTGTTTTGGTATTAACTAACTTTTTATAAACTTACTATTCTCAAGCTAAAAGATAAAAGGTGAAATACTATGTGATTGTGCTAGTAAAGTTAGCAGAGATATTAGACAAATAGCATTAGTCTGTTTTAAAGATTGACACCTTTGTCGTGTAAAAGCCACAAGTCACCTGCTGGGTTTAATATTATACAACAACATTGCACTGCATTGCATTTTGTCCACTTAATGTGTCTGGCATGCTGTAGCCTTAAGAGTTGCATACTTAATATTCAAATATCAAATTTGACTAAAATGTCCGCCACTAATCTGTACTCAGTCCAGCCAACCACTAATGCCTTCTCAGCCTTACCTTCTCCGGCACAGAAAAACACTCATGCTACTTGACTTAACCTCTGTGAATTGAACTTTTTTAACTCAGGATGCCTGGAGTGTCAGTCAGGAAGCTGTAACAAAGTTAAGGTTTCTGTATTGATATGACTAAATTTTTGGAACAGTTCCCAGCTGCACCTCTAACTATACAGTTAATTATGTAAATACTTTTAGGTAGCAGAACAAAGTGGCTAGAATAACTCTCGAATTTGAAGGGTTAAAAGTGTCCTGCAGTAATAGAGCTTCAGCTAAGGAGGCCACCCAAGACCTCTCCCACTCCACAGGCATCCTGCCAGTCCATGTGTGTTAGACATTGTAAATCTCACCCCCCCACGCTCCCCCCACTGCTACAGGAAGCCATCTTGAGGGAAGATGTGTGTGGTTTCTGCATTCAATTTGTCTTTGGTTTTCTCATCTCTTTTCCAGCTTCAGCATAATGCAGTTGGGATTGGGTGAATAGTTTAGCATTATTCATATTGCTAAGGCCTCCTTCTGTTCACCATTAATGCTATTCAAGGAACAGATCACTGGTTGGTCATCACAATCCCTTGTCCTGATTGCCTGGTGGTATATCTTCCCATACCACATGACACTGTGTCAGTGTTAACCATTGGTTGTACTTTATTGATCACTAATTCTGGGAAAGCAATAACTGCAAGTGCCCTCAATATGCGTGCGTTTTTGTGTGTGTGTGTGTGTGTGTGTGTGTGTGTGTGTGTGTGTGTGTGTGTGTGTGTGTGCACGTGTGTGTGGTCTACTGCTGCATTTTTTACATCACATGTCATGCAGCACAGCAAAGTGTTTCAACATGTTTGGTGGATAGTTGATTAAAGCCAAATTAAAGCCCAGTGAAACTGTTAATCATTTATAATGTACTGTTCAGTAGGTTTAGATGGCTTCTGCTGTTCTTTGACTTATTTGAGTTTTCCGACTGGTTTTCTCAGGCCTAACGCATCTGATTGGCTCTCCTCTCTTGAGGGCCTATATGCATGGCTTCTTCATGGACATCCGACTTTACCATAAGGTATGTGTAGATAATGTGAAAGTAAAAAACAAATTGTCAATTCTGAGTGATTGTTTGAGAAGTAAGACTGGCTACTGTTAGTTACTGTAAAATGCTGTAGAATATTAGCTCCATTACAAAAGCTAGACTGCAGCCTGTAAAGGTGTGTCCTCTCTAGCACTCTCTTATAAGGGCTTCTTGTTTGTCTTACATAATGCCAAATGGAAAGATCTACAAAAGCTGCTTTGTTGTGTCATCAGAAAGTGCGTATAATTTGATGGAGAAAGTACTGTTGGTGCTGCCCTTCAAGCTAAAAAACTGACAGCTCACTGAAAGCAGGTGCACCCTGCATTCAGTTCATTTGTCTTAAGGAAAACTTGAACAGGATTAGGTTTATATGGGACTGTTGGGTAACGTACAGTCGTATGCAAAAGTTTGGGCGCCCTGATCAAGAACTCATCCTCTACAGACAACACACTTCTACACGTTTTAATGGACAATTACTGTTTATTTGCTGAATTTATGTTAAACTAAATCGTAGTAATAACACCAGGTTATATTAATCCTGTGAGAACTGACAGTAAAAATGCTATCATATTCTGTGGAGTTTTTTCCCAGTAATATTTTTAATTTTACTAGCTCAGTTTATAAATACAGACTGATAATTAATAATTCATCATTGTAAATTTTAGAAAGCTGACACATTAGCTAAAGTTTACTAATTTCATCATGTATAAGCTCTTGGAATAATATGAACAACTTAAATATAAACAGGAATTCCACAGATGTCATCACAGATGCAAAAGTTTAATCTGCAAGCATTTCTATTCAAATTTCTTTGGGTCTAACGCGTGCAGGAAGTATTTTGGGAAACTGAAGGCTGTGAAGTGTAATTAAGTAGCGTTTTTGAAAGTTGTCAGAATGTAGGCTGCATTTTTTTAGTATTTAGAAGAGGCTTAGATAACATAGCAGTCCAGAAATTCAAACTGCAATCAAGCCTTTGTAAAACAAAGTATTTGTTATATTTAACTTAACATTTGATCATATTCTATAATAATAATGTTTAAAATCTCTCAAAGCCTCCTGTAGAACGTCATGCCTCTGATATATTGTGATCTCCCAGGTTAAGGCGATGGCAAATCCATTTGCTTATGATGAATATCGCAAGGAGAAGATTCGCCAGAAAATTGAAGAGTCTAGAGCGCAGCGAGTACAGCTCCAGGTGACAAAGAATCTTCTAACTCATGCATCTGTAATTCTGTAACTACATGATGTGCCTTTATATGTCTAATCTCCATTTTCTGTTCTGTCTCTGTGCACATGTAGAAACTGCCCAAGGTGAATAAAGAGCTTGCCATTAAGCTGATGGAGGAGGGCGAGGGGACACTGAGTGCCAAGAAGAAGAAGTCGAAGGTGAGAAGGCTGTGTGTTTTATACATAGCAGCACAGAAAGGATTATTGATTTAGAGATACTAGTACTGCATGGAGATTATTTGGACGTGACTGATGTGTTAGTCTTACCTGCTGTATTTCTCCCACCGGTCGCAGGGCACCGCTAGCATCCTCAGTGACGATCGTTTCAAGGTGATGTTTGAGAACCCAGACTACCAAGTGGATGAGCAGAGTGAGGAGTTCCGTTTGCTCAACCCTATTGTGTCCAAGGTGGGCCAGAAGAGGAGGGAGAAGATACATAAGTTAGTTGAGCAAGAGGCCCTTCAAAAGGTACATCATACGTTGGAGATTTTTGCTGAACGTTTTAATACAATCTTTTACTTTAAAAGCCTTTACAAACCAAGCATGTTATTTGTGCAATTCATTGGGACGTCTGTACATTTATACAAATGTGTATAACTGATGATATCTTTTACACCAGGCATGATTTCTCTGATGGCAAAAATACAGCTGTTTTATTTGCCTTGTGTTCCATTTCTGTGAACTTTCACAGATGACATGAACTCAATTGACCTGTCATTATCACGGTCATAGCAACAGGGCTAGTCTGCTGGCTTTCTGTTGTTTGTCTTTTGTTCGGTGTAGGGCTGGCATCTCCAAAAGCAATTGGGATAACTGGGTAAAAAGTGGGTTTTGTTTGTTTGTTTGTTCATTTATTTATTGCTTTTTTCTGTGGTGGGTAATTACTTGAACAAGATGGCAAAATTCCAAAAAAAATGGCCAGTTCTGATTTGTTTACAGCTGATGGCTGATTTTTATGATCCTTTTTCCTTTATTATTATTTTTTTTAAATACCCAAAGCTCAGTCTGTGGGGGGATAAAAGAACACACGAAACACCCTAGTACCAATCATTTTTATTGGCCAAAATTGCAACATGAATAACAAATAAAAACTCAGGTTACAAACAGGCCAAACAGGTACATTTATAAATGAAAAAATGTGTTGTCTATATAAATAACATGAAATCACATGAAGTACACCATTCAAAGTAAATGACATTTGCTATGACATTTAATTATTGGTATAGCAGCAGGCATTCAAATACAGTAATGATTGCACTTAGTTGGCTCTTGTTATTTACATCATATAACTGCAACACAGAAGGGCCAAAATGAAAATAATAAATTACTGATTGCATGTTTGGAACAAAAATAGAGAACCGTTAGAATTGAATTGGACTGCCGTGTTGTATTTTCTTAATACCACCTACTATGTGAACAGATTATCCATGGTATTAAGAAGCTGGAGTGCTGCGATGGTGAGATATTGGTGATACATTGGCAAAACTGGCACAACTTACATGCAAAGATTTTTGCCAATCCGATTGAATACATTCCGATTACTGATTAAGACTGAGGTGTTTATATGCTCACTCTACTCAACAATCTGGTGGAAAATCTTCGCTTACATGCTCTCACTACAAGTAATCCGATCGAAAATGGTGCGCATGCGTGGAGTACCGCTTAGAGTAAACGTTACCATGACAGCGAACATCACGTGAGGTCCAGTCAGAGTGAGATGAGTTTTCATTTGGCACGCTTGTGTTTTTAATTGCTTTAAAATGATGTCAGAAAAATTATGTTCTGAGACACATAAGATGGACGCCCGCCCACCGCTGTCTTTTAAAGATCAAAGCATAAACTCTGTCTTCTCTGCAGACCAGTTTCTGCTCCCGCCACATTGAACGTTATAAACTTTTGCCAGATCCGGTTTATGAGTTCTCTGCTTTTGCTATGACGTGACGCACATGCGCAGAACGTACTTACACATTCTGATTGGAAATGTAATCAGATACAGGCATTTACATGGCTATTATTCTTCTATTTAATGAATTATTTACAGGATTACCCACTCAATCGGATAGAAATTGTATTCTGAATGGACTCAATTGGACTAGGCTATTCCGATTGAGCATTAGTTAGATTATTAATGGATTATTACGCTGCATATAAATGTGGCTACTGGTATTATAATCCCCTTTTGGCAGCAGGATGATGAGGATGAGGAGCTGGAGGGCCAGGCCAGTTCAGAGGAAGAAGAAAGCTCTGACGATGATAAGAGCTGGGTAGAGGAGATGAGGGAGCAGCGTCGCCTCCTACAGGCTGAGGAGAAACAGCGCAGATTTAAAGAGAGGAAGCAGCAGGACCGCAACACCAGCCTGCAGATTTCAGATCCAGTCAAGAACTCCCGGCAGCCACAGGCTCAGGGCCAGAGCCAGCCACAGTTCTACCAGCTCAAAGCCGGGGAGGAGTTCCGCAGCTTTGGGGATGTGGCACGCAAACAGAAGATGCAGAAGTAAGTGTTTGAGATGTAAAAGACTGTCTTAAACCTCTTTTTAGGCCAGTGTGCAGTATGAAGATCTACTTGAACTTTGTTTGTTAAATAATCCTGAGTGCCAAAATTTAGATTCAGAGTGTTATGTTATTCCACATGAACACGACAAGCCAAGTTTTAGTCCTGGGGGGAAAAAAATAAAAATACGCCCATTTAAATCTGCTGCCAGAGGAGCTGTGCCATGTGCATGTCCTCATTGGCAACAATAAAATCATTTTTATCTATATCAGTGTGTAGAACTGGAGCTTCCTTTTTGCTACCATGTTTTCTATCACTGTATAAAATATGCCCAAGGCTTCCTTTCTTTTTGGATGTGCTGTGAGCTCATTCAGAGTGCAGTTCGGATGAGTTCAGATCAGCTGTAAAGGGTTAAATGTGTGCCCCAAGGGGTAGGGTTTTTGTGTGATTTTGAATATGTGACTCATAGAATGACACAGGAGTTTCTGTTGTTTGAATAAATGAGGCTTGTGGATGAGCTCACTGGTTTACTTTCTGTAACTATAGAGCTCAGGGACAAATATAGGTGTCAGCTTAGTTCTGATACATAATGCATTAATGCAACTCCTTTATTTCTCATTTGTTAACTCACAGGTCTTGTATATTGTTGATCACAGGTTAGCTTTCATTGTGTATTTTTGAAAGCACTGTTGAAAATAGCTGTTACATCATAGGCTGAGAGCTCTGCAGACATTTTTGACAGCTGTGAAATTAATATCAGTGGTTATATGAATCACAATTGTCTGATTACTCTTTTCGTGATGTGCACTGATTACTTGCTGAGCCCATTAAAGGTTTACTAGATTGATTACATTTAGCCACTGCTGAAGTTAGACTGGGACACCAAGGGCATTCTCTCGTCTAGGATTCTACGACTTTATGAATGTTGCTTTACAAACTGTGCTGTCTTTTAGTGTAATTGTGTCAAATGAGATTTTGTCAAATGAGATTTTGTCAAATGAGATTTTGAAAGAAGTGTCTGTTTTGTCTGTACCAGAACGTCTCTTGAGGAGCGTCTGAAGCTGGAGGAAAGCTCAGGGATGCTGAACCTTGCTGACACAGCTGTCGGAAGCAAACAGCTAACATTCACACTCAAGAAGGTGAGCAGCAGTTTAACATTGTCAAACATCTCAGTTATACAGTAGAGTCTCTCTGTTCATGGTACCATGAACCTATATAGTGCATAGTTTAACAGGCATTTAGTTATTCAAAATAAGGTTGTACGCTTTCCACTTTAGGAATAGTTCATCATAACTGAAAGACTAGTGTTCGTAGATTGATTAATTGGCTTTAATGTATTGTAATAACTGGGGTTGCAACTAACAATAATTTACGTTTTTGATTAATGGGTTCATATGGCTTTGATTCATCAGTTAACTGGGAAAAGTAAACGTGCAGCTAGTAGTCTGCCAGTAACTAAATATGTCACCTCACACATCAACAAATTAGAAATACAAGAATCTGCACAATTGTCTTTCAAACATAAAACACCTTCCCTATCTTCTGTATCATATTTGCAAAAGAAAATAATTTTTTCAAGGGCATAACAGCTCTTCTGCACAGCCCTCAAAAATGCTGTTTTACTCAGTGTGAAGGGTGCAGAAACGCTAAAGGAACAACACAAATAATCTTACCAGGAAGTCCAATTACTGTTATGGAGGGGGTTTGATTTTACATTAATTTTGCGTTGCTATTGAAATGATGCATTGCTTATTTCAAATTGATTACCACTCCTCTAGTGGTAAAGCAAATATACATGGAATATTATTTTTCATCTCTGTTAACATATTTACATATTTTACAGGAGACCATCTTTTTAGATGATGGTAAACTGATTTTTTTCCCCCTTTATGTATTTATGTATTTAATTTTATTCATCCATAACCCTGTGCTGTAGGGTTGGAGCGCAGATGTCATTGTCATTTTGTCGATAAGAAGACTCATTAGTCCTAATAATAACATTCAGGAAAGAAGAAACCAAAACCACCCCAGAGTTTTATTGCTTTCTCACTAAACTGCACACAATGTGCATAAAAAGAACAACAGTAGAGCTACTGCTGCATAATGCATGCCTGTTAAACACATTCTGGAAACGTCCTTACCTAGACAGCTAGGGTTGTACAAAAGTTACAAATTTCATATCTGACCCTTTTTAGTTTTTCGATGTAATGGGCCTGCTCGTACTGCAGTATGATAAAACATCTACCTTTACTGCCAAGTAAGACGTGAGGCAATACCAAAATGCATTGTCACCCCTTCCAGAAAGCATCGTCAGACCTTCAAAACAGACTGGAATGAACCTGCCTGCAGGTCCTAACCTCTGTTGTTGTTATCAAAGTATTTGGAAAGCAAAACCTTTTCCATTTTCTTCTGTACATCACTGCCAGTGACTGCATAGGTTAACAGAAGGACTGTCAGCCTTTTCAGATAAAACACATTGAACCACATTTTACGAATTTGCCTAAGGAGTTTCAAGTTAAACGATGAAATTATTTTTAACAACTGCTTGGAAATCCTTTGCATGAAGAGTAATGCACGATGTCACCTGGGCATGGGTACGCTGCCTAGTAAGGCTCTGTCAGCATTCAGAGAGCAATAATTTCCAATATAGGGAACATGCTGTGATGCTTGATGTGGCCTGTGTGATTGAAAACCAATTTATGAAATTGTTCATAAACAGTCCTCACAGTACCTTGAACATAATGTGCTTCCACCTACATTTACACGAGTCCACCCTGTGGCAGCGCCCTTGTTGAGCATGAAGGAGCTTGAATGTCTGTGAACTCATGAAAATTGCTGGCTTTATGGTTGGAACACTGGCCCGTTTTGTTGCCCTCAGGGTGATCATGGGCCTCTCACTTCTCTCAAAGATATCTCTGCCTCGTCACCCACTCTTTCTTTCTTGCTTCCTTTTTCTTCCATTCTTTCTGTGCCTTGCTCTCAAAGCCTGAGGTCGCAGGGTTAGGGCGTTTGGGAAAGTGGGGTCAGCTTGTTCTCTCGGTGTCCCTCACTTGGCTTGATTTTCTGCTGAGCCTCTTTTTGGTCACCCAGAATGCCTGGCTTACTTACAGACACTCTCGAACATTCTTGCTTATTCTTTTTACATTCTTTCTCCACCGCCATTGAACTTTACAGCCAGCAAGAAGTCAGATGAGATAAAAATCAGCTTAGTGTTTTGTTGATTCTTTAATGTAAAATGACCTTAAAAGTCCTGCTTCAGCAACCTCACTTGTCACTGAGCTAATATAATTCAGATCTGTTCATAATTCTAGTCCAAGGTTGTATTTCTCTCGATTTGAGTTCAAAGTTAGGTAGAGGTTCTCAGTGGAAAACAGCCGATGGCTCAGCTCAAGTCACAGCCGTTCAACTTACTGTAGACAGTTACTCAATTAGAACTAATAACTAAATTTAAAAAAAAGATTTAAATTTACATTCTTAATGAATCAAGCTTAGTGATTAGTTTACAAGTTAAATAGTAAATAGGTTATCCGCATATCATTATAAATCTGTGTTGAGCACTTCCGAAGATACTGCCCAAGGCTGTGCTGTTAGCACTTAAGTTGCTTTGTGTGCATCGTTGAAAGGGAGGAAACAACTTCACACCAGCAGGATTTCACAAATGTGTATATTTTTATAGTTAAAAATTCCATGTATATAAAGTGAAGTGTTTGCTGTTACAAACTGTATTTGAAGTGAAAATGTATAGACATGAAAGGACATTTGTTTAATTGGGTCCAGGCTAAACAGCTTGGCAGTCTAACAGGCTACTCCATTTATATTCATTTAGGCTCTACTGAAGGATTCACTGTAAAACTGCAACATACAAAGAATATGCCACCTGAATGTCTGTTACAAGCTTCGAATGCTTCAAATATCCGCATTTAAGTAGAGCTGGCTTATGAACTATTAAACCCTGTGTGGGAAGTGAATGTGCACCACTGCTGGCTTGACATTAACATTAACATTTTCATAGAAGCGTTTGTGGAAATTAGCATTCTCTTAGTAATCATACTCAAGCTACTTATAAAATTAAGATTTCTGCTAGTAGGGCTGGGCAATATGACAGTATTTATCGTTATCATAATTACTTCACAATATGTCACAGTATGCTTATTTGAGTATATTGTGGACATCAGCACTTAAACACTGATCAGCTGCATATTTCAATACAAAGAGAGCACAAATAGTGCTGTTTAACTAGAATTGTACAGATTTACAAATCACTGTATGCATTGTTTTTGATAGAATTTTTTTAAATGTGGTTCTTTTTTGTCTGTTCTAACATATCAACAAAATAAATAAATATTGTGGCTGTTCGTGTATCATGAAAAGTTCTTGAAGTATCATGATATTATATTTTATGCCATATTGCCCAGCTCTACTGCTCTGCCAGTACAAGTTTTCTTAAAGTGACTTAATTTCTTTTGGCTTTTTAAATTACCTAAAAGGTGTTGAACTGATGTCGCTGATGTCTGCACGTAATCTAGTAATACATATTTTAAATTCTTCTACTGTTCACACTCATACTAAGAAACAGTATGATTTACACATCAGTTAATATGCTTTTTTGCCACAAGATACTTGTTTAATCCTCAAAATAATCTCTAGACTTCTTAATTACTAATTTAATCAGAAGTAACTGCCCTAGTCAGAATATTTAAATTAGTAAGTGCATTTTAAACGATACTTCATTTGTATGCATGTGGTGGATCACGTTAGGATATATCAGAGCTATTGTTAACGTGGTGGCAACTTCAATCCAGCCTGCCTGGTTTTGATTAGCCACACCAGCATAGACCAGCTCTGTAGCATAATATTTCAAACTGAAAACTCAGTGTTATACTAGCGACTCTTAACGCTAAAGTGGATTGGCAAAAACGTGTTAGGCTGAAAGGATTTTGTCTGCATTCTGTAAAGCAACAGTTGCTGCAAAAGAACATATGGCTGAGCATAGAAAGGTCAGTTTGTAAGAATATACTTTAATATCATGTATATACATTGAACGTTCTGTGTCTGCTTTTTCTTTTATGACCATGTTGTCTGTGTGTGACCTAGTATGTAAATTGACCAACCAGTAAGTGTGGTTTAGACATGAAAGACAAGTCAAGAAGGAGGAGAATGAAATAAAAGAGCTTGTGACTCCAGAGAGAAGCATCCTGCACTTTCTCTGGTGCCGTGAGAGATTAGAGATGATTTCAGGACAGGAGTGTGTGATTGCAGATTTCAAAGCTGCAGACGATGCTCTAATCACGCTGGTGGAGTGAATTTAAAGTGAAAGTGGGTTTTCGCTATGATTACTCTGAAAGCATTTGGAGTTATGATGCCCATTGTGGCTCACCACCTCATCCATGTGGTGACAGAAAAACAATGAGTTAAGACTCAATAAACACAGGGCAAATTAAAACATCTAACAGTGGCATGTTTACTGGCTGTGATGAGCCAAATGCAGTAGCTAAGCTTTCATATTCCAAATTTTGTGCTCCTATTCATAACCAGAAAGTATTGCTTACTCATATGAAATTATCACCTTGACTTTAATTGGCAGATTATGCTGTGAAGTGAACAGTTCAGACCACACAGAGTGTGAATGTGACTCTTTTATAAAACTGAAACACTTTAGAAAGTTAAATTGGTCCATTGTTTATATATATATATATATATATATATATATATATGTATATATGTATATATATATATGTATATGTATATATATGTATATGTATATGTATATATAACAATTTTCATTTGATAACAATTTTCATTTGATGAAAAGCTGCATGTATAGTTTTGTTTTTCAAAGAAAAAACATTTTTTTGTCAATTTTTGATATTAAACAAATGTAAAAAGTCAGATATGCGGTACATAAGATATGTAATAATATATCTTAATTTATCACATAACTATGGTATTAATTCTGCAGTTATTTTTAAATAAATATGTAATATAAATCAAGTGTATATTGTATTGTATGTAAGGGTTAACCTCTTTCTTCGGGATACCCCTAGTGGCCATAAATCACCTCAATTATCACCAGTTTGTATTCTTCATCCTTCATCCTTCCTTTCTCTCTTTCAGACGGAGAAGCAGCGGAATCAGCAGCAGGCCGAGCGGGAGCACCACGAGGAACGCAGGAAAATCAGAAGGGCTGCTGGTCACCTATACACTCGAGGCAGAGGGCGAGGAAGAGGGAGAGGCAGAGGACGTTTCTGACCTCAGGACTGACCGCTGTCTTTAAGCTAGAGCAAACCACCTCATCTGCATGGTGTTAAACACTCTTGCAGTGTTGACTTGCAGGACTTTCTTATTCAGGGCATAAAATACTGCCTTAAATGTCTCATTCTGCCTCAGAGACAGTAGGACATGTGGTCCTGTTTTTCATGTTGAGCAGAATGGCAAAAGAAGGAATGTGCAACCAGTTGAGACAGAGAGAAGCCGGGATTTTTTGGAAAAATTGTGGGTTGCAATATCTGTGTGCGTGCGTGCGTGAGCTCTCTGACCTTCTACTCCTCTGCTTTGTCCCTCAGTGCAGTCTAAACAGAACTTTGTGTGCTGTTAAAGACCATAAAATATTTTATGCACATCTGCCTGTCTGTGATTGCTGCTTATTTGCTCCATATTCAGCTCCCATATTGTCACTGTTATATTAAAACCTGTTAACTCCATTTAACCTATTAACTCCAATATATTTAAAAAGGATTTAATTGGCCAGTAAGTGTTTATTTGCTCAGAAATAAACTAATATTATTAGTATTCATTTTATTCTTTTTTTTATGATATTTAGTTATTTTATGTGGGTCAACAATATGCAAACCTCTCCTTGTGGCAGCCTGGTACATTTTTGTAGTTGTCATCCAAAACTAGGTTTGGTTAATCAATGTTTTATTAAATTAGATTAAATCGGGTGTGTCGCTCTTATTACTATTTAATGAAATAGTCATTAAACAAGCACAAATACACTGCTGCAGTAAACGGTTTTAAACAGTTTGCTTAGGTGCCTAAGATGTCTTTACAGGACTATACATTTTTTGCTTCTACAAAGTTGCTAATTTGTATGTAAAAGGTTTGTTAAGACAGTGACTGTTATACACTAAGGGCTACGAGTTTATGCATTTCTCTACAGGTTTCTTTTCAGTATTATCTCAGCCGTGCTTAGCTGACTGTGCTTTCCTAAAAGTAGAGCCCGCATGAAGAGGAGAAGAGGCAGTGATAGAAAAGGAGCAGGTGAGCATGAGGTGAATATTTCAGGAAGCAGCCCGTGCCCCTCCCCCTCCCTCAGCTTTCCACATGGTAGGGCCCACGCCTTCTTTTTAGCCCCCCCTCCCCAGACATGTTCTGGCAGTGCTGTATGCTGGTTGGCCCTCACAGGGAGCCCTCTTCCTCTGGTGCTCCTGACCTTCGCAGACTAAGTTCCTCTCTCCATTCTTCTTCAACTGGCCTCCCTTAATGACCAGGCAGGGGGCGGGGGTTTCTGACCTATGGAACTAGTTTGAGGCTGTTCTCAAGGCAGCCTATGACTGGCTGCACTTTGTTAGCATGGTTGTTGTCATCCATGAATCAGTTCCAGTTTGCCATACCATTCAGTGTTGGTCATGGTGTTAGTTATAAAGGTATATTATGTGTGTACACTCATTTAGCATAAAAAAAGCTGCTTTTTCCAAAAAAATAGTTGAAAATCAAAGGCCTTCAGCTTTCTGAACACTAAAACCTGGTTGTATTTTCAGGAATTTTTCTAGTGATGTTATCCAGGACTAAAGTCAGTAATCTGAAGACTAACAGCTTTCAAGGCCATAAAATAAGGCTGTTGGAGTGGGAGGGCACTGGGTCATGGTAAGCAGATCTGGTTGGATCCAGTTGAAACTGGTATGGAACAATACGCTACAGAGGGGGAGATGCTCACAATGTACCCCCAGTTGACTGATGCTCTAAGTCATCTCTCCTAAAGGAAGATCACCTAAAGGTTGAGGTTTATTTGCAACGAGGTTGGTTTGCAGAAACCACAAATTTCTGAGGTAACTTTGTACAAAAATATAGGCCCACTGATGTCAAAGCCCTTCAGTACCCTGAAAACTGGTTATAGCTGAGTTCTGTCAGCAGATGTTATATAAAATAAGGTTCAAATCTATGACCTGCCACTCAAATGCTAACTGTTCCTAAAGTGTGCCTAAAGGACTGATGATGGGCCACAGTGTGATAGTTTGTTTCTAGTCTATGTAACAATTTTACACAGGTAAGAAGTGAGAACTGCTATTTTAATCCACCACATGTAGACCAACATATCACTGATCTCACAACAAAACCTTGTATCTACAAAATGGTAAATTTATGCTAGAAGGAAAAAAAAACATTTTTCGTTTTAGTCAAAGTAATTTTCCTGTCAAATGTCAAAGTAAAATTCCTTACTGGCATTATCAAATGATGGGAAAAAAAGAAATGTGTATATATATATATATATATATATATATATACTACATTTGTTGTAATAAATAAACATCCCTGGTCAAATTACATGATTTGTTGATTTTCTAACTAAAAATAAATTAACACATCCTCTACATGGAACAAACTTAAATATGCCATTTTCCTACAAATTTTAGTGCACCATTTCTATTTATTTGCAGAGTTTAATATATTGGAAAAAATAAGATATATAAAATAAAATGTGAAGGAATTATGTTGATGTACTATATTTTATTCATGTGGAAATTATGTGCACATTTGAATTGTTTCAATTTAATAATAGAGATATCTAAAGTTGTTGGAGCCAGTGAATGTGTTCTGTCTCTTCTCTCAGAGCAATCAACTCTAACCTACATCACTCTGCTGTCTACAGGAAAAACGTGTATGTCTGTCTGGAAACTGCTGAAGATGTCATAGTTACGTAAGAAATGGGCCTCATGCTGAGCTTCCTGCAGGTGTGGAGTGTGTATTTTCTGCAACCTAGACCTTTTCTTGTCTTTCAGTTCATTGGTCACCCCAAAGGCTTTAGTCCTCCTGCCATCATTGTCATGGCGATAGGAAGTCTGGCACTCAGGAACTAGGTCAGTCCTACTGACACTTAGCGCAACATGGCACACTTTTCCGCAGTGCTGAACAGTGGCAACAGCAAGGAAAGCACAACATTGGCTTTGTCTGCCAGCCGGGAGAATCTGTGCTAAATCCTGAGCTATATGATGCCTCAGCTGTAGCTAAATCTTTCAAATCTTTCACATCACATAATGGTTAGATTACCTACAAAAATAGTATTAGTAGTAATAGTAATATAATTATATAACTAATTATATATATTATTATTAATAATAATAAAATAATTATATATATTTATACAAACAAATTAGTTCTTAGATGTAGAAGATTTACATATAGTTCTTTGTAACACATCTATAATAGTTTACATGTTGCTTCCCTATAATGCTCGTGTAGCACTGTCATATAATTATATATAATGCTTGTTTGTTATCCTGTAGTAAACTATAGTAATTGTCTAAATTTAGCATAAGATTCTTATTGGAATGGTATAGAAATTCCTGAAGTATTCCTATATACATTAAACACAAGGGTTAAGGGAAAGGACTGTTTTGTGGCTAATTCACTGTCGATGCTGCATTTATCGTCCTTTTTGTCTTCAGTATGTTAAAGCCAAGTAATGCTAGAACTGAGAGCACCTGGTTTTACACCTAAACTCTTGATAGTGAATCCTCTTCAGTGCTGCAGTCAACTTTGACGAGACAAAGATCCTCATCCCGGGCAGGCTGAGGGATAAGCTGAGCCAAGAGCCAGACACAAGGGTGAGAAGACAGTAGAAAATAGGTCACTAGTACTCAGGCACGCACAGTGGATGAGCAGTTCTCAGCACTAACCACAGCTTCACGTAAAATGTTAGAATCGAACATTATAAGCATCAGTTCACAATTCAGTTAAATTCATTCTGTGTTATGAAGAATTATGTGTTACATCATCATCTTTTGCTTAGACTGAGAGTCAAGATTGTAATCTACCACAGAACGGGCTCTAACTGCTTCAGCTGATGTAATGACTAACTGACATGAATTAAAACCATGTGATGTTAAGCAATAGAACACGATAGTTCCACTGCTTTTATATAACGGAACTTCGCAGAGTTCTGAACATTGTTTCAGATATAGATTTATGATATTGACTTTCTTCTGCCTAAAAAGAATCTCCATCAACTTTTAGCTAATATATAATAATACAGGGAGTCGGGCATTTCTGAACCTTTTGGGGCCTAAGCGACTGCCTACTCCCAAATCAATGTTGTATACACCTATATACAGGAGAAATTATACAGAATAGTAAATAAATGCTCTTTGAAATTTTGAATTTTTGGAATTTCAGTGTTCAGTCAGAATCTTTTCTGCCAATATCATAAAGAATGACACAAACAGCTCAGGGGCCCTAAGCAACTTGTACTGCTTATAGCTGTATTCAGAAGTTTGAACACCCCTAGTCACATTACATGTTTTGTTGATTTTATGAGTAAAAATAAGTTAACACATCCTCTACGTGGACATTTTCCCGCAAATTTTAGTGCACAATTTATATTTATTTGCAGAGTTTAAGATTTTGGAAAAAATAAGACATATAAAGTTATTGTTATAAGGTTAAAGTTATAAGTTATGCGCCATAACTTTTTCTCACAGGTCACATTTTATGTGTTATTTCATTCAGCAAATAAACAGTATTTATGTATTAAATTGTGCAGAAGTGTGTTCTCTGTAGAGGATGTAACGTATTTCACTTCAAATCAACTAAACGTAACTTGACCAGAGGTGTCCAAACTTTTGCACATGACTGTATAGCAAGAAACGACTCCGACAGGCAAAACGCTTTTCAACCAATCAGACTGTACGGTCATAACTAACTGTGGTGTAATTGTATAATGTAGATCACGAATATTATTTCGTCATATGTTTTAAATATTGTCAGTTTCTTTCGTCAATAAATGTAGTTTCACCAAAAACATCAAGTAAAATGACTATTGTTGCTTAGCAACCAGTGGTCAGCGGAGTAAAACAGGTATGGTGAAATAACTATTGTTATCAGATGTAACAATACAGGTGGAATGCTTTTCAACCAATCAGATTGTGAGGTCAGAACTATTACAGTACTAACTATTACTATAATCGTGTACTGTAGATCATGAATATGACTGCATATCACATATCAGCGATACGGGTACAACAGCACAGGTGGTGTGCTTTTAAATCAACCAGACTGTATGGTCAGAATTAACTGATGTATAACTGTCTAATGTAGATCATGAATATGACTCCATATCCTTTCCATTGCTCTTTATGTATCTCCATCACGCAGCAGATTGGGCTGATATCTAGTTCAATGAGCTGGCTGTAGAGAAGGAGTGAGGAGTCTTGGCGGGCTTTCAGTGGGCCACAGAGGGCCCAGCTCTGAGACAAAAGGGGGCTGCTTTTACAGGGTAATCCCCCCCAACACTCACTTCAGTGAGCACAGCCGTGAAACAGACCCTCCAGCGTCACTGTCTGGCCTGCGAGTGTGTGAGGTCCCGCTCAGGGATTTGAGAGCGTGGGCAGGTTTCTCTGAATT